TACAAGTTTGTAGAAAAATTTTCTTTTGTGTGCCTATTAATTTTATGAGGTTACAAAAGGAGATAATCATGAGATATAAGGAAAATAGTGTTATAATCTTTTAGAAAAAAGACGGTTTCAATGACAAAAAAGATTACACCCTTTAAAAATGGAAAAACAGGGAAAAAATTAGAGGAAGCCAAAATTTGCACAAGGCAGAAAATAAAAAAAACGCACCCACCTCCATTTTTAAAAGAATACTCAATAATAGGACATCTCAGCACGAAGATATTTTCGTGTTTTCGAGGGTTGTTATCTCAAGGGGTTTTCGTAATACTTTGCTGGAAAGTTATAGAAAATCCGTTTGGTTTAAATTCTTCTCAGGAAGACACCGAAAGGAATGTTCTGTTCTGGGGCATGTATCTGCCTTGAATCTGTTCGCTCTTTCTTTCAACGTGTTGATATCTGAGCCCTCGGTTGCAGTCCTTTTTATTGAAAAAGCAGGATCATACTGTTTCCATCCAAAATTTCACAAGGGGTAAAAAATCCCGCCTCTTATTTGCTAATATATACAAAATATTTCTCCAAGAATTAAAAAAACAGAAAAATGAATAATTTTGGCGGTCAACTGCTGGTCCGAAAGGCCATAAATTGCAACAATCTTTACACAAACCATCAGACCTTCAGAAAAATAAACTTCTCTCAAAAAATGTGTATTAAGAAAAAACTAGACGATTATACGTTTAAATAATTATAACAATTTTAAAATAAAATTTTTATACAGTACTTCATCTGAAAATTTTGGATGACACAATTTGCCAGTTTTTTAGACCCTTAGCCTAAGGATTTCTTCTTTGCGTGAAACCTTTCATCACACCAGTCGCTTATATATTTCTGTGTTATATATATATATGTATATATATATATATATTTGAGAATCAATATCTATGTGCTTACTCTTATAGCCGTATATATCGAAAAATTTCTTCTTTTGGCATACCACGATATTTGAAAGAGAAGTCAATGGGTGAGTTAGAAGGTGGACAAATAATTCTTGCATAATAACTGCCCAAGCAGTAATAACTGCAAGAGGTTACTGAACTTTATAATTCCTCACATAATCAAGTGAGTGTAAAAGAAAAGAGTAAAAGAAAAAGATGACAAGAGAAAAAGAAGACTGTAAGAACTTATTTACCATGCTATCTCCTCGATAGATAAATAAATTTTGATAAATAAAAGACAAAAATCTAAATGAGGTAATTATCAATTAATTTAGCTTTCGCACTATTATTTAGCCATTACATACACAGACTGGGTTTCAACACAATTATCTTGTCGCTTTCATTGGAGATCACGTGTCCTGAAAGTCTTCTCAGTACTTCAACCTTCTCCTTACCATTCCAGTCTTATTTAGACTTGCGGTTATGTCATATTGAAATAACGGTATGATCACCGAAGTTAAGCAACATCGAGCCTAGTCAATAACTAGATAGGTGACCGCTTGGGAATACCAGGTGCTTGGATATACGGTGTAATGCATTAGGGCTTGGAATTTTTGATCAGATAGCAGATTTCTAATTCAAGTCGGGTTCGTTATATTCACAAAAACCGTTGAGAAATATAGGAATCCATGTCGCCTCCCCTCAGCTGTGGGTTAAATAGTAAGACGTGTATCTCTAAATCCTTAATATATCCTCCTCTCACAAAATTCTTTGAATGTAAAAATATTTTCTGGTTTTAAATAACTTCCAATGGATTGATAACATGTAGAAAACAGATCATTCAATCAATCAATCTTTTTCATTAATGCTCTCATTTGATGGTCTCATTTCTCCCCCCCCTATTTTAAGCTATTTTAACCGTTTTGTTACACTCTTTAGAACCGTTTTCACAACTAAATAGATTTTTTTCTGTTTTGTTAAATGTTTCATCAGTCTTTTACTTTAATTTTTTAGAAAATATTGTCCTGTTTTCTGTTGAAAGATCGAAATACATTAACTAACGAACTTTCTTTTTGATAACAAGATCTGATCCTTTGGCCTGTACTGGCTGATCCATTTGAATGTCATAGTCACAATTATTTTTCTTTATTCTCTCAAACTGAATCTTGTTTGTATCATTAATTGGAATCGTCCACGTCCTTTGTATACTTGTTGTTGTTGTTCTTATTCTTATTTTTCTTAGTGATGTGGAAGACAAATGTCTAAGATAACCAGATCGAGACGAAGAAAGATCTCGAGTAGGGTGGTGATTTTTTAAGCTTGGTGAAAAGGATGGGACATCAAGTGAGGAAATGATTTTCTAAGCATAGCTTAGAGGTAGGACAAGGTGGAAAGTGTGAAGCACCCAGTGAGGATCGAACTCAAGATCTCGAATAAGGTGTGTTTAGTATAGAGAAGAGTTGTGTTCTCTTGAATAACTGGTTTTTTGGAGAAAGAAGTCTTTCAATATAGATGGCGTCACTGCTAAATTTGCATGGCAGCTGTTATGCTAATTCGAATGTGACTAGTGATTCTGTGTTGCCAATGAATCACAGTTGAGCTCTAGTTATAGGCAGAAAAACCGGCTTTTTTACCAGCGACCTTTCATTTTGCATCCATTTGAGATAATGGTCTGCAGGTTGGTCTAGCAGAACAGTACAACTGAGACCTGAATTTAATCCAAGCTAGGTACATCATATGCCAAAATAAGGACCCGTTTAGCAGATTATTATTATTGATATCAAGAAATTCTGATTATAGTTAAACACTTGGCACCAGGAAATAAAGTTCGCGTTCAATGAGCTGTTCTTGATTTTGCTAGTATTTGACCGTAAAAATAATAATTACTTTGTTTTGTAGCTGTCTATATTTCTGAGATGAGGTATTATGTACACTATTTACATTATCACAACGTTTAGGCATTCTTCAGGTGATTGGAATGTTCAACTGAACCCTGAGATGGGAATTAACAGGAGATGACTGACATCCATTAGAGATGGCACGTGAAACTAGAACAGTCTACCCCAGCGAGCGAAATAAAGGGTTCAGTTCGACATTCCAACCACCTGAAGAAGGCCGGAGCGTACAACGGCCGAAACGCTGTGGTAAACATGGCGAAAAAGATGAGGACAATAGTCCGAATAATGTAAATAGTGTATTTTGTTTTGGTTCGGCGTTTTCCTTTCAAGCTTACATTAAAGGTTCCATCTTTAGAATGTCGAAACCTCGGTGAAAGAGGCCTCCTTCCAAATCCATTTCTAATCAAGCCAAATCAACGAACGCTGATTGGCTGATTGTGAATGCATTTGGCATGAATCCATCTTTATTCTGTTTCGAAGATGTTCAATAAAATTGAATAAGAAAAACTTTAGAAATAACTACAAGCATATTTATTCATTACTGCCAGAAAATCAATAAGTTAACTGAATGGGGAAAACTGAAAAATTGACGTAGAAGTTTTTAAGCCATTGTTCATACGCAATAATCAAGGACAGTGATTTGTTTGAAGTAAGCGACATGTTGTGTGTAACAATTAGATCAGAACCGAATCCCAACTTTGGTAATGATAACGACTCACATTGATAAATCCTTCTTTTTTTTTCTGCCAATAATGAATCGACTTTGATCAATGATCGTATAAGAAGGAAAACGCTTATACAACGTCCAGAGCGGTTAGCTTAGTGATTATCAACGCGGAAAATGAAATCAGTTTACCGAATCCAAGGTCCGTTTGGGGTCACCTTGCATTAATACCTTTCTCAAATTCAACTTTTCTTTTCCTAGAAATGGGTAAAACAACAGATCAAATTTTGTCTTGTAGACGTGGTGTAACCAGCATAGAAGGGCAATTCTGAAGCTGTCGGAATCTGTCTGAAGGGGGATAGTCTTCGTCAAGTTACCACCTCTAAGGTTAATGGCAATGACAATCTTAGCCATTTTTATATATATATATATATATATATATATATATATATATATATATATATATATATTGATGCATGTTTCGTTAAATAATATAGACGAATTTTGTCTATTTATTTTCTGTAAATTCTTTTCATATCGTCTCATAAAGTTAATAACATTATCATTAAATGATGAAAGAAAATCACCATATTGGTACATGTTTTTTAATCCTATCTAAGCTTTCGGTTTACATAAGCCATTATCAAAGATGACAATTACATTACAATATATTAACCAATACACGGACAAAACAATAATGATAGTCTGTTTTTGTTTGCATGTAAGATTTCCAAGCAACCAAATCTCGTGCATATGAGACGCTGGAAGCGAAAATCGCACCGCAGCTTATGACGTCACATATGACCACGCGAGAGTGAAAATGAAATGTATTAAGTATGGGAAGCCGTTGTATAAACCAGTGGCTTCTGTTATCAATTATAGGCATTTAAGAATATTTGTGGAGATTTCATAGTTATATATATATATATATATATATATATATATATATATATATATATATATATTTTTTCATTATTGAGAGGGTTTCCTTTCTAACTTTTTATTTGTAGCAATGTCGAATGTCAGCATCTTGATTATGATATTATTTTCTTCTTTGAGTAACATGTGATATCCAATTTAGCTGTTGCTGCTGCTGACGGTCCTCTAGTGATATAGTTTCTGTCATTTGGCACAGTTCTTCGTTTGTGATTCTGTAGCGCCAGACTCCAAGAATGACGATCTTCACCAAGACCCACAGGCTTCGAAGCCATTTTGATCATTGTTCTGAGAAAGTGGTTGCATACAGTAGAGAGCTTAGCTATGTTTGAACGGGTTTGGCGTTATGCATGAAGTTCATATGAAAGTCTCGATCTGGCGAATCTATTTAAGAACATGACTCTCGAGACACATCCATTGGTGCTGCTGTAACGCCCGAACAACTCTTCAATGTGTTAAGGGAAGCAGGACACTCTATAAGAGGACTAATGCAGAATCAATATTTTGAAACGATTAAGGGTTTGAGATTCATTGCTAGAGATAATGGAATTCGTTTGAACACTTTCTTCTTTTTTTTAAAACTTTAGTTAAAGAGTCGATTTCCGTTAAAAAGGGAAAGGGATGGAGAAAGACACAGAGAGAAGGTAGAAAGAGAGAGGTGAGGAAGGATAGATAGATAGATAGATAGATAGATAGATAGATAGATAGATAGAGATGGAAAAAGAGCATAGAATTACTGTTTATTCAGTAGAATGAGAAGAGAAACGTGGACGAAAGGAACACAAAATAGACAATTAACAAGAATAGGAAAAAACAATGATTTAAAAGTGCTTAATCCTTTTCGACTTACTATCGATTAATTTTGGATGTAAACAACAACAAAAAAAAAAATAAAATAAAATAAAAAATAAAGCAATAGATTAATCCAGTAGCATCAATGTTTATTGAACCAAGAATAACTGATGAAATAGATGTCTTCAGCACAATTGTTCCTGGTTGTAGAACCATCATGAAAACCATTAAATGGTCAACAAAGTATTGACGTTTGTTCTTCAGCTCCAAATTTAAGTCAACTTCTATTCGTCTATTTCTCTAAAATGAACAGAAAATGGTCATTTATATTTTATTTACGAATTGCAAAACTGACGAACGATAATATCGTCCAGAGAAAGCGTTTTCTTCATGCCTATATATTTGAGAAGAGACATTAACATCTCTAATATTGTTCGTATTAGCGAACCTCTTCTTTATATAATCGATTTTAACAAACCATTTCGGCCGATCAATTCTTCTTCCGTCGGCAAGTATAATCCGTAAAAACAAAGGAAACCTCAATCTTCCAGAAATATCCAAATTGACTGCAGAAATTCTGCATTAATATATATATATATATATATATATATATTTCCACCGTGTCATGTTCCCCAAAGAAATGGCTCTTTACCATGAAGCAAATGAACATTATAGATGGTCGACAAGGAGCTTCTTTAAGGAAGGGGGCGGTATATATCGGCCTGTAGATCTTAAAGCTTAGATTGGGTTTAAACATGTATCAATATCGTGTTTTCCTTTCAACTTTCAACGATAATGTGATTAAGCTTATCAGACAATATGAAAGGAACTTACTTAAAATAAGCAGACAAAACTTGTCTATATTATTCAATGAAACATGCATTAATATATATATATATATATATATATATATATATATATATATATAGGTAACTACACTCGTCTCGGAAAACCTTCGATTTCTTGATTTGCTAATGATCAAATCAATTTCGAAGGAAAAAAGGTTTTAAAAAAAAGAAAGAGCTAGGAACATGAACGTCTGTCGAAAATAATCGTACATCATATAGGTCCAAAGCCCAACGAAAAACACCCCGATACGAGTAATCAACTAACTAAAAAAAGTGCTCAATACAAAAGTAGAGCAGACCTAGTCAAACCTAGAGAGACAGACAAACCTAACAAGGTTTCAAGCTGCTTTCCTGATGATCCGCTTAGGTGAAACCTTGGTAGATTTGTTTGGCTCTCTAGGTTTGACTATATATATATATATATATATATATATATATATATATATATATATATATATATATATATATAATAAAACATTGCATCTATAACAAAATAATGGAATTATTATGTGTGGACTGGCACTTCAGCTTCGGATCAGTGGATAATATCCGTGTACTTGGCTTAGAATCAAAGTATTGTCTCCTCTCTCTTAGTCATTGCATGAAGTATCTGTGCGTTCTGCGTTAAATCAGTGTCACTCCCCGACTATTTGTTTAGGATTCTCGTCTGTGTGCTTGATTATAATCAAAGTCCTCTTCCCTCCCAATTATTCACGATAGATCTGAGCGCTCTGCGATGAACAAAAGTGTTGCAGCCGACCCTTTTGGTTAGAATTAATGTAGTATCTGTGCGCTGTGTGAAGAATGAAAGTTTTGCATCCTGCCCTTTTACCTAGGATGAATGTAGTATCTGTGCGCTTTTTATCTAGTGTCTGCTCTTTTTCTGAGAATGAAATTATTGCCCCCTCGCCCTTTATCCACGATGAATGTAGTATCTGTGCGCTCTACGTAGAATTAAAGTGTCGCTCGCCGATTCTTTGTCTAGGATCAACATAGTATCTGTGCGCTTTGCTTAGGATGTAGTATATGTGCAATCAATGAATACATCCCTCTCCTGCTTTTTGTCCAATGTCGTATATGTTAAGTCTAAGATTAAAGTATGACCAGAACTCCTTTTCAGGACCAGAATGTTGGGAAGACTTGCACTCTGCAAATTATTGTACCCAAACATGCACGCACGTGCACAGATATGATTAAATATGCAACCTGCATGGGGACAACCTAATGGCTTTTATGTGGCCCACAAGAGCAAATCAAACATTATTTGATAAATATCAATTCATATATTTTGGTATTTATGTTGATTCATTGGGTACTTCGCCGTGGTGTAGTTGTTAGCAAAACTGTCTCGTTAGATTAATTACGACTTAATCGTGAGTCCCATCCTCACAGGGTACGCCACACTTTTTGCCTTGTGCCACATCTAAGCTACGCTTAGAAAATCATTTTGTGCGCTTCGGCGTGGTGTAATGGTTAGCACATCTGTCTCGCTAGAAACTTTCTGAGCGACTGTTTGGTTCAACTCTCTGTCTACGGACGGAGAGGAACCCGAAGGAGGCTACGCTGAAGGGCGGAGTCTCCTTCGGGGAGGTAAAACCGGCCCTGAACCCGTTTTTACGGGTTCAAACGGCATATTTTTGGGCTGAGCCCACGGGCTCGAGAAACCCACGGGCTCGAGAAACCCACAAAAAACAACCGACCTTGTGTCACATGTTGCCCAAGTGGGGGCGGGGAGACTGAAAACTGTCTCGCTAGAACCATTATAACTGATTAATGAGTTCAATCGTCTCTCGTTACTCCATACTTTTGGCCTTGTGCCACATCTAAGCTACTTTTAGAAAATCATCATGTATGTTGATTCTTCTAGAATTACTTTTGTGACGTAGACTGATTTAATTGAGGTAAGAATTTAAAATTTTTAGAGTTGGCGCCATTCCACGGCGCAAGAGTTCAGTAGGATGAAATTCTTTTGATCTCACTTTTCGGGTGAAAAGGCTGGTGTCGCTTCATGCAAAAGGTTAGAAAAAAAGAAGATTACTGTTCGTATCTATGCTGTCTGTAGCCTTTGGTGTCTTAATAATGCAGTGAACGATGTTTTATCCAAAGTCGTGTTCACAAGCGACTTTCTCACATTACTCTTGAGGCATGATATATTATCTACAGTTTCATTGTTTAAGATCGGAATCCACAAATTGACACAAAAGTGTGTCTACGCTTTCAAAAGAGCAGGCACTCCCGCACACAAACAGCCGTGTCAAATCACACTCATGGAAACACAAATAACCACGTCAAAAAACACGTGTACGGGTGGGAGGCGCTGAAAAATTGTCTACACCTCTTCTCCCCCAGCTATGAGTTAAATAGTAGGACGTATATTAATAAATTGTTATTATCTTCAAAAAAATTCTTACAAGCTAAAAATATTTTCTGGTTTTACGTAAACTGAAAAAAGGTTGACAAACCGTAAAAAATCATCAATCTGATCTTTTGTTTAGGAGTTTTACTTGTTCTTGTATGGTACTTATCGCCATTTTCTCCTCTAGACAAAGCGTGTGTATGTGTGTATATATCACTGTGTGTGTGTCTGTGTATGCGTGCGTGTGATTAATTGTATACATAAAACATATGCAGCCTGTCTCTTCATGGATACGTACGTGCATTTGTTTTTTTTATGTCAAGTGTGTACAGATTACATTTTCAAATGCCATACAGGTTAAACAAATTAATGTATGATTTGGATATATTATATTTGATAAATTGATAAGGTACATAAAATGTACAAAAATGTCTTTATTCATTTAATATTACTCTGAATACGTGAAAGAATTTATATTCGTAGATGCATAATTATCTCTCCATATAATTTCATATATGGTTTATTAAGTAGAACGGATAAAGAATGTCTGCTAAGCCGTTTGGTTAATTTCTGGTGTCGAATGAGTCATTTGACGTTGAGTGTAAACTTGTAAAGAATCTGCATGTATCTTTCCAAATACTTTTGTCAAACTTTGGTTATTTTCAAGGAAAGACGGTAGAATTTGAAGAGTCATTGGTACAGAATTTACGCTGTTACTGGAGTATGAAATGAACGTCTCTTCATAAAATTATCACTGTGGAATAGATTTCAAAGACACGTGACATACCACCTGACAACACTTACCAATGTATATAAAAACGTAGAATTACTAAAATAACAAAGACAAGATACGGTTTAATGACTAAAAGAATTCTTTTTATTAAATGTTCAAGGCTAAAGAGCCACTCAAGATAGAAGATTGCTGTATTAGGTGGTTACGGCCACATCACATTGAACCACAGGTTCTCGTACGATCACTGATGTTAAGGTAAGTCGAACCTATTCCGTACCTAGATGGATGACCGCTTAGGAATACCAGGTGCTGTAGGCTTGGGTGTAGGGGTGGTGTAGGCTTGGGTGTAGGGGTGGTGTAGGCTTGGGTGTAGGGGTGGTGTAGGCTTGGGTGTAGGGGTGGTGTAATGCATAACGGGTCAGAATTGGAAATCGAGTTCCAGTTGGGTTCGTTATATTCACTTACGCGCAAATGCCCTTTGAAAAGGCATGAATCCACATCTCCCTTCAGTTATGGGTTAATTAGTAGAACTTGTATCAGTAAATCATTATTAGCTTACTCCAAAATCTTACAGTCCACAAATATTTTCGGGCTTTACGCAGCAAACAACAAGTTTATAAGGCGTAAAAAATATCAATCCTGTAATGACTTTTAGGAGGATTTAATTACAGATTATAAGGATATATAGGATATATAACACTAGTCCTGAAGAGTTTAAGATTGTAATAATCGGGAATTATCGCCTGGGGAGTCTTTTCCACAAATTAGCGGTTCTAATAAAGAATCTATTTCACTGGATCTTCCTTCTTTTACCAATAGAATAGAAGTAGAGTGATTATACGTGTCCGTGGCAATGTGGGTCCTAGTTGAACTGGCGGAACTAGCAACAAAGTAGCGACGTTTCGTAAGTGTGATACAAGATTTGATATTGAGAATTTCCTTCGAGATTCGAGCCATTTAAAAGGAACTATGATTAAATCAGTTATTTTGGAATTGAATGACAAACGCAACAGCTGCAGGGGCCGAAGAAGAAAAGTTCATTATTTACACTATTCGGGTTATTTTCTTCATCTTTTTCGTTTTTATCACAATGTTTCGGCTGTTATGCCCTTCGGTCTTTATCAGTTGTATATCGATCTGGGTAATCTAGACGGATTTCCGAACTGAACCCTTTATTAAATCAACGATTTGGCAGCCAAATAAAATTTCTAGATTTGGTTTGATAAAGTTCATCAAGGAACGAAAAGTGTTGGCATAAAATGTTTTCGACTTTTCATTTCTTTTATTAGTTTTTTCTTTACAGAAACGTTTTATTTATATCTGAATTTTTACAGACATACACAGACATATTATTTAAATTGTTTGGACTGTTATCCTCATTTTCATTGCAATATTCACAACGTTTAGGCCGTTGTATGCTCCGGCCTTTATGTCTATGTCTCTCTATATATCTGTCTATATCTCTGATATAAGGTATTATGATTACTTGCATTATTCGGACTGTTATCCTCATCTTCATTGCCATATTCACAACGTTTCGGCCGTTGTACGTTCAGGCTTTCTTCAAGGTTCGTTCGAAATTCTAATCATCTGAAGAAGGCTGGAGCATACAACAGCCGGAACGTTGTGAATATAGCAATGAAGATGAAGAAAACAGTCCGAATAATGTAAATAATGTAAATAATCATAATACCTCATCTCAAAGATCCAATCACCTGAAGAAGGGCGGAGCGTACAACGGCCGAAACGTTGTGAATATGGCAATGAAGATGAGGATAATAGTCCGAATAATGTAAATAATATGAATAATCATAATACCTCATCCCAGAGATATAGACAGACATACACAGACACACAGACATATCTCTGATAGTGTGCTGAAAATCTAAACAAATATTAGAACTTATTTTGGAATCCATTTTAGGGTCGGGTCGAGAAATCCCCACCCACATACATATATATATATATATATATATATATATATGTGTGTGTGTGTGTGTGTGTGTGTATGTGTGCATGTGTGTGTGTGTGTTTGTGTGCGTGTGTGTAAAATAAAATTCCCCTCACTCTAGATACATATGTATAAAAATATACATATATAAAAATATACATATTCATAAAAAAATCTAATAGAATAAAGCAGGAAGTGGTCGGATTTATCGAACTTTCGGAAAGTTATACACACTTTATGTCTGTTATGACCGGGAACTAAGAAAGCGGAAGTACCGTTTTAGCTATTATCCAGAAACGGAAGTACCGTGTCGGCCATATTGTTTATGTGTGAATAAAAGAGTTGGAGCATAGGTTCACCGGACTGAAGGTATTAGTCTATTGTTATTGGTGTCTGAAGTCTCGTTTTGGACATTATTGTGATTAGTTTTGTTTATTTTTAAGAAACAGAGAAGAAATGTTCTGCCAAAATATTCCTTTTTGAAACTCAGTAAGAACTTTTGAAACAGCAATCTTTTGGTTAAGTTGCTTTTGCTATTTATTCTTTTTTGTTGAATTGATTTTTTTTCTTTGTCGTTTTCTTTTTGTTTCAATTTCATTATTTTTCTCCTTGTCTGTTTTAATCCGCCATCATTAATTTTATTTTTCTTGTGTAACAAAGTTCAACCAGTTCGCTTTTTATTGTTTTATTTCATTTTTAGTTAATTTATATTTTATTTTTACTTAAAAACTAAAAGGCCTTCATTTGGACTAAAATCTGTTTTTTTTTTCGACTTTTTAATTTTTCCTTGTAAGCCGTCTTATTCGCCTCCTCTCCACTTAGGCTTTTTCCTTTCTATTTTTCTCTCGGCTACTGTTTTTGTTTCATTCCGTTCTTTTATTCATTTACTGTCTTTACGCGAATTTCATTTTTATTTATTCCTTTCGGGGAATTTCTTAGTACTTTTCACCTAACTTTATTTTTCTTTTATCAACTTTTATTTTTAATTTTACCAGTTTCTTTTTAGAGTTTGTATATTTTGTACTATTTCTTATTTTTGTATTATTTCTTATTATTTCTTTATTAATTATTTCTTGATAGCTTTCACCAAATTTAATCTCAATTTTTATTTCCTGGTCGAGCCAAATTCTTGAATGTTTTTCATTGTTTAAATTTTGTATTGATTCGTATTATTCCTTTTTTTTTCCTTCGGTAAATTCCATTTTTCTTTTTTCGAGCAAGTTTTTTAATTTATTTTTCAATTGAAACAACTTAGTGTTTTTTTTGGTTAAACAAGTTTTATTATTGATTTGAATTTTTGTATTGTTAATTTTCTCTTGTTAATTGTTTTCTTCACACTTTATGTCAATTTATATTTACGGCTACCTTTTTCTTTTCTCGCAACCCTCTATATATTTCTGTATAATTTACCACGAGGAAAAAATTGTTAGCTTTAGACGTTTAAAGAACAATATGGCCAACCAAAGTCGGTCGATCAGAAAAGATTTCTTCGGATCAACTTTTAGAAATATTTGACCTGATAAAAATGGCACAGTACAGTAACCGGAATTAAAAAGTTCCCAAAGATGTGTCAGCAGAAAAGCTGATTCTATGGAGGCCAGTAATGACTAAAATTGGAACAAAATGCATGGAGGCTAATAATAGCCAAATGTTGACCAAAAAAATATGGAGGCCATGAACGATCAAAATGTATCCAATGAAAGTATGGAAGATCATTCGGACAAAAACAAAATGCTGAGGCCGGGGAATCACCCTGTTGTTGGAAGTTCCCATAAATACATTATCAATATTGCGGAGTTTTGGAGCGAGCCACGAGTTGCGTTTACCTTGTGGTAGAAGGTCGACTCTTGAAAGAACCCCAAGAACTTAAGAAAATTTTAAAAAGAATAGTGTCAGTCTTCGTGGTGGACCAGCGCACGCGCAAAATTTGTCGCTCCCCGAAAGACAGTAGTAAAATCACTGGAGTCCCTGGGGGTTAAGCCACAGAGAATAGTAAAGCGTGCATGCTTCTTCATGTGGGACATATTGCTACTCACGGCAGAAGATTGTGTGTAGGGAACTGATTATGATAGATCTAACTTGTGGACCGAGTACGAAAGCAGACGTAGGACCACCCTAGGAATATTCGAGGTATCTCCTCAGGGTAATGAGGAGCATATTGCTGCGTTCATTTCGCAGGATAGCGAGATGCTGGGTGCCTCCTAAGATGACCTGACCGGGGGATGAAGTTTTGAAATCATGTTAGACCGAAAAGCCTTCATCTCCATCCACAAATATCTGGTAGTAGGGTGCCTGAAATTGCCGGTCATTGTGACTGGCCGCAGACCAACTCGCTGGAAGTGTGAAGAGGTTGGTTACCTCTCCCCTTCCTACGCAGAGAAGAAAGCCTTTGGAAGTCAGGCCCCAGTCGACCAAGATCCCCTTCTGATCGTGTCTTTAAATTCCGCCGCGCCTGCGAAAGACATGCAAGCTTCCGGGACCGGCGTGGTTGGGTCGAGCTCTCAGCTCCTATTCGCCGAAAGCCTTTGCCCGCTGCTAGTGCAGTTGTGGAGAAGGGAGAAAGGAAATGGCTGGTTGCTGGTTTGGTCATAGAGAAGCACCAGACAGCGGAGCCTCAGTCCCCTGAAGCCCTTGGGACTAAAGGTACGGACAGACCCACTCCAATCAATGAGAAGGGCGACGCCCCGGCTTCAAAATCTATATCTTTGAAAGATTTGCAAAAAAATATGACCTGGATATGAAAGGACTGAAAAGTTAAAGCTTCGCAAGGCTAAACTACAAACTGACTCAAAACATTCACAAGCTAGAAAGGCAGCACACTCCTCGACCTTTACCCCGTCCTTCAGGCATCACAAAATTATTCCTTCTGTCGCTTATCTCCTCTCAAGAAAATCCCCTCTGTAGAGATCCTACTTAAACCCCTTTTCATACTCTCAGTCCTCCTCCAGGAAACATCCTGAAATACCCCCACCTTCCAAAAGACAGAAGCCCTTCGGTAGAGGCTAAAGAGAAAAGAAAAAGTCCAGCAAATTTTCATAAAATTTAGGGGAGGATGTCTGCCACATTTTCTCAACCCAGTCTGAAAGAGCCTGAAATTATGGAAATCGCACAAAAGAATTGAAGTACCTATTGTCTGTCAAACAGTACGAGAACAAATAAGTCCTACAAAACTTCCTAGAAGCCCAAAGAGTTCTGACTGTCTCACCGAACTGGGTTGGGGGCGCGGCAGAATTAGGGTATGGTCGAAGAGGCCATTAATTTATTTAAAATGTCATCCCCCAATTGCCATCGTCAAAAACAAACAAACTGAAACAGTTTTGTTCTATAGAGCTTTAAAACTGACGTGTCTCTGGGATATCGGGGGCCTCTTACATGACGGTACCATCAAGATTGAGATGCGTCAAGGAAAGCAATGAGAGAAGCTGTTGGTATCCTTTCTCCGACCATATTCACGCCAGTTTCCCAACCCTAATCGGATTGATAATAGCTCACTGGTTAGCAAGTTTGAATTTTAGACGCCAACTCAATCTAGTAGGATTAGCAGCACAAAAGGCATGCAAAGAGAAAGTAGAAAGGTTCGATGCTCATTTGGACGACTTTCCCCGCCTCGGGGCGTTTAGATGCGATGGTCCTATTACAGAGTCTGAGATCTGACATGCGCTGAAGCAGGTTGGCCTGGACAAGACTCAGGGATTAGCTGGTCTTCCTTATGAAATGTACTTGAGGCAGCTGCCCGTCTTTGTCCCCTTGCTGATTTATAGCAACTGGATGAAGCTAGGGTTTATACCTTAACGATTCTCCAGGGGTGTGATGAAGTTGCTTCGAAAGAACAAAAATGATGGGGATGGGATAGGCAATTATCGGCTATTGACAATTTTAAACACAGAGTTAAAGATTTTAGCCAAGGTCTCAGTCGGCCGTTTGCAGGGTGCCCTCCCTAGTCTTATTGGCCCCGAGAAGATTTGTGCTGTGAAGGGCAGAATTATCCAGGACAACTTTCATTTGGTACGCTTGATCATCGAGAAAAGCGACAGTGACGCTGCGCTGATCAATTTAGATCAGTCTAAGATGCAATGACAGGGGCCAGGACCAACCGCGATGTCTGTTGGCTTGAGGTTGGGTTCGTGAAAGGGAGTTTCTCTTCCCGAATCTTTACTCTGAATGGACGGTCCGGTCAATATACTCGGTGTCTGGTTCGGTCCCGATCTCTTGGAAATGAAGTGGTCGGAGGTGCGGGAGAAGGCCGAGGTCGCAATTCGTCTTTGGTCTCGGAGGAATCTTTCCTTGAAGGGAAAGGCAGAAGTGTGTGCCTCGCACATCTACCCGAATCTCCTTGACCGACTCTCCGTATTTCCACTCCCATCTAATACTATATTGTGTTTCATAAGGCTCTTGTTCACCTTTTTCTGGGTAGGCAAGTCATCCAAAGTACGAGATCTGTTACCTCCACCCTTCTGAGGACGGTCTTGGTGTGCCTTGCGTTGAGATTCGTCCACATCCGCTTCGCATCTCCTACCTGGACCGGATGTGTTTGCAATCGGATGAGAATAACAAATTCTGGGAAGGCGCCCTTAAAAACTTTCCATCCTTGAGAAGTGAGCGCTTGTGCGGGGAGGAGCGGTCGTTTGCCCCGAGGCGACTGCTCCGTCTATCGCGAATGTCGGCTTGCCCTCAGGAAACTCTTATGGGCGACAGATGACCTCTCCGACATTCAGCCGTTGTCCCGTAAGGCGTTTAACGTTTAAAATACTACGAGATGCGGGCCTCCACCTTAGAAGTGAAAAATATGAGTTCGGGATGTCGTCAATAGTTTTTCTGGGTCACAAGATTGATTCCAAAGGAAAACATTCAACTCAGGTCAAGGTTAATACTATTCAAAGATTACTGGCACCAAAAATATATCGGAACTGCACAGTTATTTAGCTTTTATTAAATATTACCACCAGTATTTAAATAATATTGGCATTGTTCTAGCTCCACTGTATGCGTTATTAGAAAAAGGACCCCATCACCCTGGAAATAGGGGAATAGCCGAAGCATTAGCATTTGAACAATCGAAAAGTTTATTAATGTCCGCTGATGTTTTAGTTCATTAAAACCCTAAATGTAAACTTATAATAACCGTGGATGCATCTCCAGTTGGTATCGGGGAAGTTTTGTCAGATATTATGGGGGATAAAAGAGGAAAACCAATTTACTTTGCCTCAAGAATATTATCAAAAGCAGAAAAGAAGTATGCACAGATAGAACGTGAAGGACTAGCATGTAATTTTTGGAATGAGTAAATTCCATATTACGGCCGGGAGGTTACAATCATTACTGATCATAAGCCCTTGTCTGGGCTTTTAAAATAGGACCGTGCGATATCATACACAGTAAGTACTAGAATACGACGTTGGGTATTGGTGCTATAAAACTACCACTATCAGCGTGTATACAAATCCGGTTCAAAGATTCCCAATGCAGAAGTACTAAGTATATTACACGTGGGGGACACCCTTACCTTGTCCGGAGAAAGTGGTACTCTATGGCAGCGTTAGATTCAACTCCTGTCACGGCAAAAACTGCTGCTTTGCATACATCCAGGGATCCCGTGTTATCTCAAGTGAATAAGTGGATCATACAGGGATGGCCGTACACTGAATCTCAGGATTTTTAACCGTACAGGAAAGAGGATTTATCAGTACAACTAGTTGTGTTTTATGGGGATCACGAGTGTTTATCTCCGCAAAGAGTCCAGATACCTTGCTTAACGAATTACATGAAAGTCACCCAAGTATTTTACGGATGAAGTCCCTTGTTCGTTGCCATATCTGGTGGACTAATTTAGATTTGAACATTGAACTGTGTTTAAGAAGTTGTGTCATGTGCTAGGATATGGCTAATATACCCCATACGAGTACGTTATACCCATAGGAATGGCCGGGAAGGGTATGGTTTCGAGTGTATATAGATTATGCCGGCCCGATTAATGGCAAATGGATTCGTGTGATAGTGGATGCTCAAAGTAAGTATATAGATTCATATATATGTCATTCCATCACCATTAGCAACAGTAATAGAACGGATTTGCGAAGCCCTCATGTTATTGTGTCGGATAATGCCTGTAGTTTTACTAGTGAAGAATTTTCAAAATTCTGCATCTTGAATGGCATTATGTATAATCATGTTCGCCATACCACCCATCGTCAAATAGACTGGCTGAACGTGCCATACAAACCATCAATTGTGAGTTAATAAGGTTTCCGGTGATCTCTAAACTCGACCACTGCGTGTCTTGGCTCGCTACCGTCTTTTTTCATAAACAACAACAGCTTAGTCAACAACCATGTTGATAATGGGTCGACAGCCCAGATTTCGGCTTCACCTGGTGTATCCGGACTTATCCACCAAAGTCACCAGTAAAATGGACAACACTAAAATATTGATGGATAGCAAGCAGTAGGAAAACAGATTCCATTTGGAAGGTGCTGTTAACGTTATGAACTTTCAAGGAAAACCAAGAGATGTCTCGAGTTGTAGAGGAGCCACTTGGCCCACTGAATTTTCTATTGCGGTTGGAGGATGGGCGTGTATGGAAATGTGGATCATATTCGCGTATTGATTCTCAACTGAACTGGGTATATTCTCTGAAAGTGCTAATCAACCAAAGAGAACTCAGACACGTACATTGAAACGACACCCAGCATCGACCACACAGCATCGTGTACCCTAGATAGATCGACCGGGGGAGAAAAATTAGCAACCCAGAACGCACATCAGAAGACGTTTTCAGAAACGCAAGGAAGCAGAGACGTAAAGGTGAAAGTGAGTTCAAGAAACCACACACGGGACATAAAACGAGACACCATCGGAAAGCGATGCAATGCCCGACCCTGAGCGAGGGAACTTGCTGAAAAGGAATTGCCAGATGACAGAATTCGAGAAGGCTCAGATATGGAAAATGATCACGTGACTATGACAGGAAGTGAAACAATTCTTGCCCCTTATAACCTATCTCCTTAGAGTTCTTTTGAAACGCTCATGGACATTACCATCTAAATAATGGTTCGCAAAAAACATTGTTTAATTAAATTTTGACTAATTGGGGAGGGATGTTGTAACCGGGAACTAAGGAGACGGAAGCACCGTATCAGCTATCGTTCAGACACGGAAGTACTGTGTCGGCCATATTGTTTATGTGTTAATAAAAGAGCGGGAGTCTCGCTTCGGTGGACAGAAAACACCACGCTGTAACTGCGTTGCCATTGTTACTACAGATCCCCTTGTTGCGACAAAGTTCATAAAAGAAAACATTTTTATGAATGAAAGATAAATTATATAAAAAAGTTTAATCTCAGTCGTCTTTAATGAAAAGTGTATAAAACAGGGATTACTTTCAAAATACACAATTATATATATATATGCACATATAAATAAAAAGAAAGAACAGTAAGATATATAATCCGATGTTCTTATTGATATTTTTTATTTTTACAAAACAGTGCCCAATGTAAATTTACAGAGCATAAATATTACAAAAATAAATATTTAAAATATGGTTTCTTCGCTACACAGTAATAACCATGTTTCAAAAGCTGAAGCTAAAATCTTCAAATTTAATTATATAATCAAATTTAAAGCATTAGTTCTGTTTCATTTTCAAGCGAATTTTAGAATAACTTATTTTTAAATTTACTGAGTTTTAAACGCACATATAAATCCTTATTTTCCTGTTTCCAAGAATACAGAGATATTGATAGAAACAGTATTAACGACATTTATAGGAGGACAAAAATTTTCTATTTCTCGGACATTCAGGATGATAAATGTTGTTAATACTGTTTATTATAAACAGAGCATTTACTTAAATATTTGTGTCTATATAAATAACGTATAACAATAAAATATATACATTGAGGTAAGTTTCACTAAATAATTTAGACAAGTTTTGTCTGCTTATTTTCAATAGAATCCGTTCATATTCTCAGAAAAGCTTTTAGGTGTCGGTATTAAAAGAAGAGAGAAAATTACTGTGTTCTTTTATTCTGAGTACTTTCAATGCCATCCTGAGGCTGTGTTTTTAAGAGAAAAATGTAGTGTTTATTATTTCCAAAGACAAAATTGCTGTGTTCATCTGAAAGTTATAATTTTACGTGTGGAGTGAGGACTGTTAATTTGTGTGCCAAGCTCTCGGGGAGGTGACTAATTATTATGTGTGAAGAGTTCTTTTTGAAAAAGAAGAAAATAGCATGAGAAGCTATTAAGATAGACCTTGATATTTTAGTCTATGTATTTTAAACATTTTAGAACATTTGTTCCGTATACATAATTCATTTTAAGGTTTGTTTCAATTTTTAATATAGATAGCTTCAAAGATTTTTAGTTTATGTTATTATTTTTATGAAAATGTATGGATATATTTTCGACAAGAATTTTTCTAAATTGCGAATATGGGCAAGCATGCTGTTGTAAATGTTTATAGATGTTAGACATGTCATTCAAATAAAAACTCAACCGCTGAGACAACGTGGTCGTAGTATAGCCAACGTGAATATTATTTTTTACGTTGGAGATGAAATGTCCCAGAGAACATTTAAATTTATATACAATGTTAGTTTTCTGCAAGACATTTGTTGGTGGGGAAGAGTCATTACAAATGATTAAATTGGGTATACTGAATTTAGTGTAGTATATAATTAATTTCATTTTTTTCTAGCATATGTGGTAGATATGTTGGTATTTATTAATTTTTTAAGAATATCTTCGTCTTGTTTATAATTAGAATGCATTTGGTTACGATATAGAAAATTAATATGTTTGGGATTAGTTGAAGAAGTATTGTATTCTATTTGCTTTATATTAGCATTACGATAGCGCATCTTATTTATTCATTAACAATATAATTAGGTAAGTTATTATTAATAAAAGTTTGCTTTATGTTTCTTAGTTCGCCGTAGAAGATCTGTTTTGTGAAAGAATTAATTTTAGCACAGTTTATTAGGGTTTTTTTTTATTATTGGTATTTTATAATAATTTGGACATTCACACTTATAGTTAAGGGTGCACGAATTTATGCCGGTAGGTATTTTATACGAGGAGATAGTGAATTTATTATTATTAGTGTTTATCAATATATCTAGAAAATGGAATTTTATTACGATTATTAAGTTCGTCTGTAAATTTAAGGACATATATATATATATATATATATATATATATATGAAGTGTGCAACTGTACAGATAGAAAAACAATCGGATAAATAGCCAAAGATTAACCCATTCGTACGAAAGCCAAATCCATTTTGACTTTGATGTTTAAATCCGATTAGAATCAACATTGGAGAAAGCCATAAAAAGTAGAATTCATCGAAACAGGAAACAGAAAAAAGGGGGAGATAACCAGTCTTTCTCTAATGCACCTGCTGTCTTTCTTTTGTACGGTAGTGATCAAAGTAATAATGGAATGGGTGTGCAAGATGAGATAAGAAATATCGGCTTTAAAATGTCCATTCTTATGTCGCACAAGATCGATTAGAGGATTGTCCATTGTTTGGAATGGTACCAATTAAACTGGCGGATATGTCTTGGATGTAATTAAAGTCTGACTTGATCAAAAATGCGAAGCCATACGTTGCTGGTGTTTATTACGCAGGTTGGATATTGTTGAATGAGCCTCATTCATTTTGCCAGCGCATCGTTGCTTTCAAAATATACAATCTGCGCATGAGCGGGATGAGCAAGTCATTGACTTTATGAGGCAGGTTCATTGAATTGCTGTTGATGTAGCTTTGGTCACTTCTCCGAGGAAAGGTCATTATGCGTTTGATGATATATATTGCCTCAATAATATTAACGACATACTTAACTAGGAAATGTTAAATGTAATTGTAAGAAAATAAGTAAGATAGAGATTGGGAGACGATCCTTCATAGAAAGATAACGAATGAAAATGGGATGAATAACGTGTTTGACATCATGCATAATTTTTAGGAAATACAATTCTCTTATCTATCTATCTATCTATCTATCTATCTATCTATCTATCTATCACAGTCTGTTCATCTATCTATCTATCTATCTATCTATCTATCTATCTATCTATCTCCGCCTGTTTATATCTATCGATCAACGTATTTTCGTTTCTTCCCTATCTGTCATAATTCATTTATATTTAAGTTAATTCCTATCTATCTATCTATCTATCTATCTATCTATCTATCTATCTTAGCTCGATTGTCAATCGATCTATTCTGAAGGTGTTAAAGAACCAATGCAACCCATACTAAACCAACAAAAAGAAAAACATGAAAAGACAAAAGAAAAGAAAAAAAAAGAAGCCAGACACTTACCTACACAAAAATCTAAAGTTCCCAATGCCTGTAGAAATTAGACTAAGAAGTGTTACACTATCAAACCAAACAGGGCTCAGAGACTCTGATCTAAATCGCAAATCTCGGCTTTTAGGTGGTTAGTTTTCATTAATTTCTTTTCAGATCTTGTTTGATAATCGCATAGCATGAAACTCAGAATTATGATTTGGATTCGAATACCTGAGAGCTGTTTGGTTTGTTAGTATATCTATCTATCCCAGTCTGTTCACATCTATCTATCTATCTATCTATCTATCTATCTATCTATCTATCTATCTATCTATCTCAGTTTGTGCATCACTGCTACCAAATTTGTATAAATTGTATTGTTAAAAATAGGAAACTGGATGATTTCACCTTCTCAATCCGAATGACTTATTTGTGGTGTAATAGGTAAGGATATAGTGTAGCCGCGGCATGTATATGTGGGATTCATAAAACAGGAATTAACGTTTGACCGCGCAATGATTGTTGGGGAAAGAAAAAAAACGTGTATCTTAGAGTTGTCATGTCAACTACTGTCGGTTTTCCTTGGGAATCTTTATCAATTGTCTAACAACAATATAGGAATTCCAGACAGATATTAGTCGCGCGTGAAATCTTCGAGTATTCACAAGTGATAAAAAACAGCTTTACCAGCCAATGACAAGGATATTAAGCAAACCACGATAGGAAACACTGTATCAAATTCCTAATTCATTGCTGAACAGAGTACCCAACATTCTATGGAATTCCCTAGTCATCAACTAACAAGAACACTGTCTATATTTTTGAGATGAAGTATTATGTAACTATTTACATTATTCTGACTCTTGTCCTCATCTTTGGCGCCATATTTATCACAACGTTTTGGCCGTTATATGTTCCGGCCTTCTTCAGGTGGTTGAAATGTAGAACTGAACCCTTCATTTCGCCCTCTGGGGTAGTCTGTTCTAGTTTCCACGTGCCAGTGGATGTCAGTTATCTCCTGTTAATTCCCCTCTGAAAGTTCTCCACTGCATTAACCAGGTATTGAACTCATACTCTTTGGGTCCTGTCACTGGATCTAACTAACGCCTTTATCCACTGTGCCATCCATGAGGACATCTGTGTATGAACTTTAGGGCATTATCAATCTAATGTCTTCAGCCATCATTTTTTACCAGTGCTCATATTGCAATTTTTGTGATAAACATGGCGACAAAGATGAGGGCAATAGTCCGAATAATGTAAATAGTGTAACAAGAACACTGTTATTGACACGACAGTAACGCTTACTCTACCTCAACTTCTCAGAGTACATCACTATTGAACCAAAGGATTCGGCATTAAGTTGCAATTTCATACGAGTCAAATTTCCAGTTCTTTCACATGTTCCAGTTTGGGATCTACCCTGTCAGAAGAGTATTGTGCTAGTTAGTATCAGTTCTGTAGCTGTATTAGAGTTCAATAACACCACTATTATAAATGGAGTGTATCTTTCTATGTTTACTATTGGTGGACGTATCGTTTCAGATAGCAGACGGATGGCAGTCTACCAAAATGGCGTCTGACATAAAAGTGGATACGAAAAGGAATTGTATTATTTAATTCTGCTGTGAGAAAAAACCGCACCCATTGACAACCCCAATGCTTTCTGATAGTTTATGGAGACCAAACAGCGGATGTGGACACAGTTAGGTGTTAGTGAATGCAGTTTAGTAGTGGTGACAGATACGTAGTCGATAAGGTATATTTTGGGCTGCCCTGCACACTTATCAACCAATGAAATGAAGAGATCTTCTTTGTTGCTGGTAAAAGTGCATGGTCTATGCGAAAAAATAGTCCTTCGGAGTTAAAGTCTTATTTTATCTAAATCCTTTATTTCCTCTATCAGTTTCCGTGCGAATAATTACGATGTGTTATTTTCAATGCCTATCTATCTGTATATCTCGGATTTATATTAAGCTATTAGAAACGCCTGATGTAAACATAAATAGAGAATTTCAGTCAACGGCCAATATTTGAGTTAAGAAAAAAAAATCAAGCTTTAAGCAACTGTTTCTGCATTTAGTTGGGATAGACAAGCACATTTCTGTTCAATCAATGAGCACTATCATTTTTGCAGATATCACTAAACGCCCTGAAGCCACACCCATGAAAGTAAACTGTAATTGGACAGCACTGAAACGTGCCTGGACAGAAACACCTACGCAATAACCCCAACACCTCATAGCATCCCAAGACACGTCACGTAACTACAGTTAGTAAGGAAAAGAATGGAAATACAAGTTATGCAACTCTCTTCACTTTTTAGCACTTCTGTTTAGATAAAAAAAAACACACTAAAATATGCTAGAAACAGTTACGAATATAGAATAAAAGTATTTGTGGAAGGTCGTCTCTATGTATACATGTAATATTCATATATATATATATATATATATATATATATATATATATATATATATATATAGGGTGTCCATAAAGTTCGTGTGCACTTTAAAAAATTTATACCTTTATTTGTATTTGTGATAGAAATAATCTGTAAAATATGTCATAAAGTTTAATGTACATAGTTTTAAGTATAGCTAAAATAACTAATGTGATTTCAAGCATTACTGTGAATCAGTTAGCAATTTTTTTCCGTGAACTGCAAAATCGTATTACCCTTTGTATTGTTAATGATGGAGGACATGTGGAAACTTAAATAAAATTTCAATAAAATCTTAAAAAAAAACATAGATTTACTTCTTTCTAATCCTTTTTACAAATTATTTCTATCGCAAATACAAATAAAGTTATAAATTTTTTAAAGTGCACACGAACATTATGGACACCCAGTATATATATATATCTATATATATGTGAATGATATTTATATATGCGTGGTGGGTGTTATAGATATGACAAATGACCAGGAAAATATTTGTTTCAGCCTAAAATAATTTTTGCCAGATATTAATGAATGGATCGTATTGGGAGTTTGTGTGTAGCTATTCTGGGTAATCTTAGAGAAAATGATCGTACGATTCATTGACTCATGTCCAAATTTGTTTATTACAAGAGTAACACAAAACATTGCAAACTGCAAAGCTAAAGGTAGTTGTTGGTGGCATTTGAATTACGACAAAGAAGCGGCATTGATTCTGTCCAGTGTTTGCTCTAAAGCCACGACCCGGCAATTTTTTTTTGTTGTTGACTCAGAGCCGAATATAGCAAATATAAATCCTGGATGACGCCTTTAAAAATCTTTGAAAAACATTCAGTGATGAATGGACCACAATACTGAGGCAATAATTCATTAAGGAAAATATATTATTTCGTTGCGATAGATTATAAGGCATTGTAAGGTTTAATTTTGCTAAAAAATAGCCGTTGACTAAATGAATAACACAACGTAATACGGAAACTTAGCTTTGGATATTTTTAAGTCTCCGTTTGAGTATTCATCTGACTAGAAGGTGGTCATTCGGTATTTGGATAAGTTTTAAAGTGCTTCACTGATGAAAAGGAGGCCAGGAAAGAGAGATGTGGTTCTACAGAAGGATGCTGAGATGGCTTTGCCATAAGTCAAAGCATTTTTGTATGCCTTCAATAGGCATCGGCGTTATTTTCTATCTTTTCTATCTATCTATCTATCTATTTGTTAATCTATCTATCATTTAACTTCTCTTCATATCTATCTATCTAATCATATCTATCTATCTATCTATCATCTATCTATCTATCTTTTCTTTTCACTTTGTCTATCTATCTATCTATCTATCTATCTATCTATCTATCTATCTATCTGTTTAACTCAGTCTCTTTATCTATCTATCTATCTATCTATCTATCTATCTATCTATCTATCTCTTCTATCTATCTATCTATCTATCTATCTATCTTTAATCTATCTATCTGTTTAATTCAGTCTCTTCAGTCTATCTTCATATCTATCTATCTATCTGTTTATCTATCTATCTATCTATCTATCTATCTATCTATCTATCTGTTTAACTCAGTCTCTTATCTATCTATCTATCTATCTATCTATCTATCTATCTATCTATCTATCTATCTATCTATCTATCTGTTTAACTCAGTCTCTTCATATCTATCTATCTATCTATCTATCTATCTATCTATCTATCTATCTATCTATCTATCTATCTATCTATCTATCTTTTATCTATCTCAGTCTCTTCATATCTATCTATCTATCTATCTATCTATCTATCTATGATTCTCATCTTTTAAAGAACTAAATGAGTCTAATATCTAATTACTCAGTCTGTATTGATGGCGATCTATCTATACCTATCATTAATGATTCCCACAGGGTATTGATCAGACTCTATATCAAGGGCCTGCCTATATCAAGTGGGGTAGTGCTGCTTTGGGTCAGGAGAGTGACTGATGGAAGGCAAAAGGACTCTGCACTATGCTGGAGAAGCCAGTCATGGGTGTCAGTCAATTCCTGCGGCCACATCACCCCTTACATCTGGCCACCTAAGACCTCCCCAGACAGCACCCCCTTGATTAGTATGTGTTGGGGTGCGGTTGAGCAAGAGACCAACAAAACTCCTTCTAACACCAAAGATGAACTGAAGACAAGGATTGTTTTCATTTTTGCATAATTTAGACGACAATTTATCCTCCAAGATTTATCAGAATTACACAAAAATAGTGCGATAAACAAATTGCCGTCAAAATTACACAAAAATAGTGCGATAGATAAATTGCCGTCAAAATTACGCAAAAATGAAAAAAAAAAACAAACACTGACATCTCATTTTAACAGATATATTTACCAACATTACACAAAAAATATCTTGAAATACTAACGAGTAAATTTATTCAATAAAATCCCCATTGGCTTCAAACACGGCCTCCAGACGACTTCGGAATCTCCTGCAACTCTTCTAGATGGTCTCCTTTTTTAAGTTGGTGAATGCTGCCATAATCCTTGCCTTAAATTCATCTTTGGTGTTACAAAGAGTTTAACTGTGTCGCGCACATAATAATCAATAATCTATCTATCTATCTATCTATCTATCTATCTATCTATCTATCTATCTAATATTAGTGGTCAATATATATATATATATATATATATACAGTGTAACCCGGATATAAGAGAGTTGTCGGGACCGGAGAAGTCTCTTATATCCGGGTTTCTCTTATATCCGGATTTGGTCTATTTTGTTTACATTGACACAGGCTCTAATTTGGGACCAGAGAAAATCTCTCTTATATCCGGGTTTCTCTTATATCCGGGTTACACTTATCTATATAAATAAATTCCCAAGAGGATAGAATCCAGGTAGAACTCAATGACCAGGACAGAGTAAGAATATAATATAAAAGGCTCAAACACTAATATTTCATCGTTAAAATTTATTACATTGGAATCGTAATCACGATCCAATTCATCAGACCTACAAATTCAAAAAGAAATCGGAAAATATAACTCCGGGTATAAAAAATAAAATTTTAGTAAGAGTGTATGTGTGGGAGTGGGAAACAAGTGTGAGAGGGAAATGTCTGAAAGCTTTAGAGAGAGGGGTAATGGAAGAAAGAAGAACAGGAAGGCCTAAAGATGAAGGTGGGGATTCAAATTTAACAGAGAGAAGTTTTAAAGAGAAGTTAAATAACGGTTTAAATGAGTGAGATACAGATAAATATGAATTATTTTTCGATGCATAATTCGCTACCGATTCGCTGACCTAAAATTAAAATAAAAAAAAACAGACATCGGAAACGTGTGTATACATTTTGGGTGACACTACGTATAATAAAAAACGATATGATCTAAACTTAAAATCCAGAACATGAGAGAGAGAGAGAGAGAGAGAGAGAGAGAGAAAAAAAAGAAAAAAAAAAAAAAAGGATGGTGTTAGGGGTGGCAAACTAAAAACAAATGGCATTTATAAGGGAACCGATGTGTAATCAAGAAAATTTGACAAAGCAAGTAATATTAACGACAGGTTACAAATTTAACATAAACATATAAAAATTAACGAATATTTAATCTAGTAAGGACCTACTATTTATATGTTAAAAAACACATACATAGATACACACATACACAACAGCATATCTATATTTACTCACTGCACATACATACATATACATACATATATATATATATATATATATATATATATATATATATATATATATATATATATATATATATATATATATCCATACACATACACTCATGCATACGTATACACATACACACATATACACATAGACATACACATATGTGCACATAAACATATATACATAAAACCTTACACACGTGATTACGATTCTAATGTAATAAATTATAACCATGGAATATTAGTGTTTTGAGCCTTTTTATTATATATATATATATATATATATATATATATATATATATATATATATATATATATAATTAAATTAATTTTCTTTTCAATTCGATTCATAGGAAATTATCCTATAAATTCACTTGTCATAAAATTGTTCTCAGAGTGATCAACTCTGAAGGGAGTGATCGTACCAATTTCCCATCATGCAGCATTACAAAGGATATTTGTTTGACATTGTTAAACGACTTTGGCCGACAGTTACATTCGTGGAACATCCGACATACAATAAATTATTTATCTTCGAACAGAAATATATTTAATTCTTTCAAATGTAAATCTGACTATGATGGACTGATCGATTTGCTTTTTTACGGTTTATCACACTTTTGTAGGTTATTTAAAGCCAGAAAATATTTTTCAACTGTAAGAATTGTTTTTCAGATAATGATAATTAACTGATACTAATCCTACTAATTAACCCATATCTGGGGGAAGAAGAAGCGGTTTCTTCCTTTTCTAACTTTATTTGCTCGTGGCTATAACGAACCCAAGTGGAATTCGAACTCGGTTCTCCGATTTCCAATTCCGTGCCGTTATCCATTACACCACCCGCACATCCAATCTTACAGCAACTTGTATTTCCAAGCAGTCACTCGTCTAGGTACTGACAAATTTCAACGTTGCTTAACTTCGATGATCATACGTGACCGATGTTTCAACATGATATGGCCGTAAACCTCATATGAAAGATAGATACGCATATATAGAAATATAAAGGGGCGCATTTATATACGTATGAGGAGATTCCTGACCACGCGCATATTCAAATATAGTCATTAAAATAATCTATCATGTGTACACAAATATACTGTAATTTGTAAGTACCGTATCTTCCACCTTCAAAGATGCCGCGGCATGGAAGACGCACCCTAATACTGGATGTTATTCTCACCATATGTCTCTCCTACTGACGCCACATATTGTTTACATTAAAAACTCATCTGATTTTGTTTGTATGGCAATGCCATACTAGTCATGAACAGAAAAAACTCCCGCTGCTGCTAGTAAACAGAGCATGTTTAAGCTTGTGGCTCGGCTCCAGGAAGGTTTATAGTCTTGGATATACTTGTTAACAGCTAAGTACTGAGGTTACATCATATAAAAAGCTGAATTAGATAGATAGCTAACATTATAGTGTAATGACTCAACATACAAATCGACGTCCCTATCAGTCAAGTCTCTTAGGTGACCGTCTAAGCTTACTTGAACCTGGGCGTTGCCTTACATTCATTTTCGAAGACGCACACGTATTTTTCAGTGTTTTTTTTTTTTTAGGAAAAAAGCTCCTTTTGTAAGCCAGAAAATTTGTTTATCAGACATTATTTCACTCGTGTTTGAGTAGACATTGTTTTTTTTAAAAAAAATATCTTACTGAAAGAAATATAGAGAGGAACATTTTCTTTAGTAAGACTGTGATCTCTAGGTCGGTAGGCATTAATTTTCCTGTTGGTTGATGTCTACTCAAAAATATGTAATCCATAAATACAACGATTATATTACCAAGTAATTATGAGCAATAAATTAATAAAAATTGCTTTGTTTAAGTTTGACACCTCCACGTGGTGTAATGTTTAGAAAGCTTGTCTTGCTTGATCAATTACGACTGAGTAGTGAGTTCGATCCTCACTAGGTGTCCCATATACTGGCCTTGTGCCACATCAGCAGAGGCGCATAGAGTAAACCTTACTTTGCTGCGGTAGATTCTTGCGTTTTAATGTAAAGTACATTTTGAAAGTAGCTTCCCAGAATAAAAAAAAAGGAATACAGGCTCGTTATTTGTCGGTAGGTACATTTTCTTTGGTGAAACTTTCGATCTCTCAATCGGTAGACACTAATTTCACTGCTTAAAAATTACGGACGTTTACTTGAACATGGGGTACCCATTAAATATGATGTTTATAGTAACAGAAACACAGAGCCTTTACGTGATTAGGCGACTAATTGAAGGGTTCATGCGCGTGAACGGATACTCTCCTGTCGAGTGAGTCCGGCTGCGCTGGAACTGCACCGAGCAAATTTCTGCACCCTTACGTGCGTCAAATTCAAAAAGATTTCGTTGATGAAAGCGGTGTTAGTTTTGGTTCTAGGAAAGGTTTCTGACAGAAAAACATCACTTTCCAAAAATTCCCTGACAGAAATATGCAGTCAAAATGAATGTTTCTTTTTTTTTTTACAACAAAGCGCGCTCTCAAACACACGCACGCATACACTCACACACACACATGCGCACACACACGCGCGCGCACACACACACGCACTAGTAACATTCTTCCAGTAGTTTTGAAAAACTTGGACATTCGTAAGCGAAAGCAATCTGAAGCATTAAGAATACTGTTGGTGAATGATTCAATGAGAGAATTACAGATGAAATTTTGCTACCAATGCTTCAGGCGAGAATCAGTTGAAATGGTCTATGAGGAAAAAAGTAAAAAAAAATATATTGAACACGGAGGTTTATAATCAAAGGAAATCGGCGATTGACTTTGTGAGAATTCTATGAAGATCTTTGGATTCCAGAGAGTGCCGGAAATTATCCAGCTATTTTAAATATCTCGATTGATCACCATTCAGATCTTTGTACAGCTACTTGAGATAATTTGAAATTAAGAAAATTGAGTGTGCCGACAGAGATCTCAGAAGAAGATTTTTCCAACTGTTTAGTAGTAGGAAGGACATGTAAATTTCTAACGGCGTTATTTCAAGAGGACCAAATTGTCACTACACTTGGTAGGTTATATTTTATATATATGTATATTGATATATCTTAGATTGATTCAAACGTCCTTAGTGACATCTTGTGCACAGTGTTGGAGAAATCTTAGATGTGTCTCAGTTTAGAATCTGAGAACTTTTCTCCAATCGTATGGTTGCATAATTTTAAAGAATTATTTTTGGAAACGTGATAATTTTATTTTGGTAAAAATTATGACCACATATAAAATGCACATTTTTCATATTTCTCTTTATGCTTAATTTGAGAAACGTCGTTGCTCACATCATCATCTTTCTGTAAAATCACATTTCTGTTGCTTGAAGTCTCTTCGTTATCTTTGAGGAGACTGTGCAGCATTCACTGCCATATAGAAGCACAGTATCACGTAACCGTTTAATACTCTTTTTTTTTCTAAAGAATTTTTCTCACTCTTAATACTCTGCTTAGCTTTTGGAAGGCATCTTTAGTCATCCCAATGCGTCTTCGGATCTCAGTGTCGTACTTTCCATCCTCTGTTAAAACACTTCCCAGATATTTACTGTACTTGTTTGATTTTAGTATCCCCGATTTATAATTTGCATTTTGGGCTCCCCCTTTTGCTGATAACCATGCATTCTGTCTTCTTGTAGTTTATACTTAGTCCTTTCTTCTCGCTTTCCTTCGCTACCTCCTGGAGGAATTTTTATAGTTTACGTTTTCTTGCCTGCTATCAACACTATGTTATCTGAATATGCTATGTTATTAAGACTATGCCCACCAATAACGAATCATGGTCGGACTTCTAATTCTTTCAAAATCGCTTCGCTGTATAGGTTGAATAAGTCCGGTGAGAAGACACATCCTTGTCTCACACTCCTTTCTATTTTTGCATATGTGCTAATCATGTGAAATATCCAGCACTGGCTGCATAAACACGGCAACCCACTTTGCCAACTTGTGCTGCGTCGACAAAATTGGATGAATATTAACATTATCTTTTTAAATAAACCATACAATCGTTTTAATATTCAGTCAAGAAATGTTGAAAAAATAAATATTTGTTGAGTAATGCTTTTTACATCATTTACTTGTGTGTGTTTCACTGAGACACACGCACATACATACAAAGACTTACAGTCACATCAATACAAAGGCGTAGAAATATATATACTTACATGTGTCTTAAACATTTATTTTAGTATTTTTCGGGAAGGTATCATTGATGCGTAGTAATGTTTATCTATTTATATACACATATATATATAGAGACAGATTAATTTTTTTTTTAATTCCCGGAATAAATGTTTTCTTTGATGTCTACCGTTTCGTATAAAAATTTAAGACATGCCAGGATTTGGTCTGTATGATGTTTGATCACAGACATCTGAAAGTGAATCCATAAATCTATAATAAAAAGACAAACATGAATGCTTCCAACCAAAAGTAGCAGTAAAATGAACGATTAACCAAATATGGACGACAAGGTATTCTGTTTGAAAACAAAGTAATCTGTCAGTATATATTGGAATTTTTTAGATATTGAATTATCGACATTATGTGCCTTTTACATATATAGACTAATATCTTCATTTTGCTCATCTGTCGTATTCGGTAACCACTCGGATGCTTGAAACAAATCCAAGAGAATAGATTGGTCGGATGCTTGAAACAAATCCAAGAGAATAGATTGGTCGGATGCTTGAAACAAATCCAAGAGAATAGATTGGTCGGATGCTTGAAACAAATCCAAGAGGATACATTGGTCGGATGCTTGAAACAAATCCAAGAGAATAGATTGGTCAGATGCTTGAAACAAATCCAACAGAATAGATTGGTCGGATGCTTGAAACAAATCCAAGAGAATAGATTGGTCGGATGCTTGAAACAGATCCAACAGAATAGATTGGTCGGATGCTTGAAACAGATCCAACAGAATAGATTGGTCGGATGCTTGAAACAAATCCAACAGAATAGATTGGTCGGATGCTTGAAACAAATCCGACAGAATAGATTGGTCGGAAGCTTGAAACAAATCCAAGAGAATAGATTGGTCGGATGCTTGAAACAAATCCGACAGAATAGATTGGTCGGAAGCTTGAAACAAATCCAAGAGGATAGATTGGTCGGATGCTTGAAACAAATCCAAGAGAATAGATTGGTCGGATGCTTGAAACAAATCCAAGAGAATACATTGGTCGGATGCTTGAAACAAATCCAAGAGAATAGATTGGTCGGATGCTTGAAACAAATCCAACAGAATAGATTGGTCGGAAGCTTGAAACAAATCCAAGAGAATAGATTGGTCGGATGCTTGAAACAAATCCAAGAGAATAGATTGGTCGGATGCTTGAAACAGATCCAACAGAATAGATTGGTCGGATGCTTGAAACAGATGCAAGAGAATAGATTGGTCGGATGCTTGAAACAAATCCAAGAGAATAGATTGGTCGGATGCTTGAAACAAATCCGACAGAATAGATTGGTCGGAAGCTTGAAACAAATCCAAGAGAATAGATTGGTCGGATGCTTGAAACAAATCCGACAGAATAGATTGGTCGGAAGCTTGAAACAAATCCAAGAGGATAGATTGGTCGGATGCTTGAAACAATTCCAAGAGAATAGATTGGTCGGATGCTTGAAACAAATCCAAGAGAATAGATTGGTCGGATGCTTGAAACAAATCCAAGAGAATAGATTGGTCGGAAGCTTGAAACAAATCCAAGAGGATAGATTGGTCGGAAGCTTGAAACAAATCCAAGAGGATAGATTGGTCGGATGCTTGAAACAAATCCAAGAGAATAGATTGGTCGGATGCTTGAAACAAATCCAAGAGAATAGATTGGTCGGATGCTTGAAACAAATCCGACAGAATAGATTGGTCGGAAGCTTGAAACAAATCCAAGAGAATAGATTGGTCGGATGCTTGAAACAAATCCAACAGAATAGATTGGTCGGATGCTTGAAACAAATCCAACAGAATAGATTGGTCGGATGCTTGAAACAAATCCAACAGAATAGATTGATCTAATTTAACTTTTCCTGTATAGGGGTGATAATCTTTTCCTGGTGCCCTGACTGTATGAATTTAAGCGTGCTACTAGATTGGCATTTAGGTTCCACCCTTTTACTGTTGAAATAGTTAAATCCAACCGCCACTTCTACTCCAACAGTTTCTTCCCTTACACTTCCCGCCTGTAAAACTCCCTTCCGTTTATTGCTTCTCTGACAACTAGAATCTTCAAAAAATTAAATGCAACGTCAATCGCTATCTTCTATCCTCTTGAATCCAATTCTGCTTTTCTTCTTCTTCTTCTCAATCCTCCCTATACTCTGAGTTTTCTCTCAGTCAACCCCAATAATCCCTTGTGTACTAGTGGCATTCCCGCCTTGCTTGAGGTGAAATGATTAAAAAAAAAGGAAAAAAGTTAATTTTCTTCGGTATAAGTTTGATAGGTAAAATAAAATTAAATTGACAGCTGATCTTGAAAATAACCTACAATCTGTTGTTAACTGGGGCATCTAAAACAAAACTGCCTTTATTAAGCAGCATGGCTGATGCTAACCTCAAGGAGAATAGCCCACTCCGCCCTTTTCGTCTCATATTTTCCACTGACATGAAGTGAAATGATTATGTTGGTCTGCTGCTAGGAAAGACGATTTATCAGATTGAAGATTAGCCTTTCCCTATCCCTCATTCTGGCCTTGTACCATATTTTTTATATCTTTCACACTTACTTCTACCCTTCGTTTGTGCACCGAATACTGCTGCCACATTTGGTCTGTCGCTTCTGCTAAAATTAAACACACACACACTAGTAACATTCTTCCAGTAGTTTTGTAAAACTTGGACATTCGTAAGCGAAAGCAGTTTGAAGCATTAAGAATACTGTTGGTGAATGATTCAATGAGAGAATTACAGATGAAATTTTGCTGCCAATGCTTCAGGCGAGAATCAGTTGAAATGGTCTATAAGGAAAAAAGTAAAAAAAAAATATTGAACACGTGAGGTTTGTAATCAAAGGAAATCGGCGATTGACTTTGTGAGAATTCTATGAAGATCTTTGGATTCCAGAGAGTGCCGGAAATTATCCAGCTATTTTAAATATCTCGATTGATCACCATTCAGGTCTTTGTACAGCTATTTGAGATAATGTTCGTTTGTGCATCGAATACTGCTGCCACATTTGGTCTGTCGCTTCTGCTAAAATTAAAAAAAAATGAATCGGCAATGTTAACGGCCCTGATCTGGCATCACGCTTTCCTACCGCTGTAACATAGCTTCCCTTTACGTATTCTATAAATATTTTAAAGGTAATTGTTCTGATGAGCTTTCCTCGTTGGTACACCGACTTTACGAATTTAAACGCAGTACTAGATTGGCAGTTAGGTCTCATAATCTAATTGTAGAAATTGTTAGTTGTAACTATAATTCCTCTTTTGACAGTTTCTTCTTTCGCACTTCTCGCTTGTGGAACTTTCTTCCTTCTCCCTGTTTTTTTGTTAACTACGATGTTAAAAAATTGAATGGGATGTCAATCGTCATATTTGGTTTCCTTGAATCCTGTCCTTATATTTACCTTCATGTGTTGTAAAATCTCAGTAACCCCTTGCATCAAAGTGGCTTTATTGCCTTGCCGGGATGACTTGAAATATCTGCATTTAAACCAGCATATGTGATTTCCAAACTACCTGGGATTGAGCTCACAACTGCTAGCAAGTTTTAATCCATGAGGCAATGCGCTCCGTGAGGCGTTGTTTAAAGGATACAGTGTTGCATGTTTATATTAACAGCTGAAATTTCAACTTGTGAGCGATGAACTTTGAAAAGGAGTGTTTTTATAAAGAAAGACTAGGAACACCTATTTCAAAACCACAAGAACAGTAACAGAACGTGAAAGAAATTTTAGTAACTTGTACGCCTTTCTGACGATAACTTGAAGAATGCATTCTTGTAAGTGTACAAAATTGATCATTGCCGGTTGAATTCTACGCATCCTGCATATATATATATATATATATATATATATATATGAACATTAAGTCAACACTCATAGGCGACAGGTTGTTTCATGCCTGTCGCCTCTGAGTGTTGACGTCAATGTTTGCTTTTATATTTATATTTACATACGCTCTATCTCTGATGTTGAGCACTTTATTCCATAAATATAGCACACCTTAAAACTATATTTCTTCATATATATATATATAATGTATTATTTTAATATATACCCTGGCGATGTGAAAAACCCCGGATAATACGATTTTTAAATAAAAATATATTTGAACAAACCGATATAAGAGAAAAAAAATCAGTAGAAAAAAAAGAAAAGACTAAAGTCATCCGTGTTGGTAAAAAATAATCAATCAGCACCGCAATGCCTAATCAAAAGAAAAAACACCGACCGAGTAAATTAAGTAAAACGTAAAAGTGCTCAATATAATTAGAGCAAAATCTAAAAAAATCTCGTAACAAGGTTTCACCTGACTAATATCTTCAGGGTACTACTGGTCAGTAGTACCCTGAAGATCCTTTAGGTGAAACCTTGGTACGTAGGTTGTAACTCATTAGGTTATATATATATATATATATATATATATATATATATATAATAAATGGTGGTACTCGTTTGGAAAAACCTCGGATAGCTCAACTTACAGTAGAACAAATCCCTACCCGAGGAAAAAGGGGAATAAAAAAGAGAAAGGTCCAAGAATATTAAAACTAAGCCTAAACAATCGTCGGGTGTTTAAGCTCCCAGTCCAAAGAAAAAAACAAATAAACCCAAAACGAGTAAAAACCCAACTACGTAAAGTGCTCAAAACACTAAGTAGAGCAAACCCTAAGATAATCTTAAGGAGCCAGGCACACCTACCTAAGTTTTGCCTAAACTTTAAAGTAAAACCTAGGTAGGTTTACCTGACTCCTTAAGATTATCTTATATATATATATGTGTGTGTGTGAAAATATATAGAAAATAGGAAGGAACTGGTTGGTAAATAATCCAAAGTCCCTTAGTATTTTAGTTATTATTTTAAAAATAGTGCTCGATACAAAAGTAGAGCATAAATATAATTATTTATTTAAAAAATATGATTCCAAATCGCTACATAAGAGGTCTCATGTTTCAAAACAAGAGCCGAAAACTTCAATATAATCCTTTAAATTAAATTGAGTTGAAAGTAAAATGGGCTCCGTTCCATCTTCAAGCGAAATTTTTGTTGGAATAACGTATATCTGAAATTTACTTGTTTTAAAAATTGAAATCAAAATCCCCATGGTAACAGCTAGGGTGAATTGTCTAAATTGGGTAGGCGAGTGTAGGGTGTTAATAATAAGTAGCGGTATAGAGATACTTTCAAGGTGTCAAGTCGGGGAAAGGTGGGGGTGTCAAAAATGAAACGGAAGATGTATTAGCCATCGTCTAGTTTGCTTGTCTATGGAGATTTATTTATTTATTTTATTTTATTTTATTATGAAAGGGAATTGTGCATATAAAAAGAAAAACTTTCGTAACGTTGTTTTTTGACGACGTCATAAAGGGTTATCTTTTATGTAAGGTATTTAAACTACTAATTTAGGCTATGGATTATGAAGGTGTTATGTTGTATGCATGTTTGTAGTTAATTATTCCTACTATGAATCTGATGATTGGGCTATTTGTTAAACAAGTTATATAATTTTTTTTATCTAATAATTCAAACCAAAAATCTGATGATGCCTACAAAAACCGTTAACTCGTGTCTATTATTTAATAGATTATTATTATTTAGAAGTTTAATAATGTGCAATTTTCATGGAGGCACAAAGGGCATGGGTCATCACAAGCTTTACATATTCTAGCCTTGTCAATAATTTTCCATTTAACTTTTGGTGTCTTATTTGTTTCCTTCAGGTGCCAAAAAATATTTTGATAGTGAAGTCTGATTTCTTTTGTTTATATTATTAAAGGAGCACTTATGCTGCCTCCATCTATCTTTAAAATTATTCTTCGTGGACCCAATGTATATCATATTAGTGCTAGGGCTCTCTGTGGATGAAATAGTGCATTGGTATACCACAGAATTAATACAACATTTATTTTCTAATGGGCAGTCTTCTGGGTTTCTACAGTTACATAATTTTCCCTTTTATCGTCTGATTTAAGTGCAGAGTTTTTATTAATACTGTTTTGGCATGGGGTTTGTTCAAGATCTTATTATTGTGTTTTTTATTATGCGTTCAAGATTATCAGAGCAGCTGTAGCTCAATTTTAGGGTGTTCTTATTGAATATATTACTAAGCTTACTATTGGTGGGGAAGTGTTTATTAATTAGAGCTAAAATTTCTGTCCTAGTTTAATACTAACCCTTTGGTTGAACGGAGGGGTGTACCAAATGATATTTCTTTTCCTGTTTTTTTCATATGTCCAGTGTAATTTTCTCTGTAGTTAATGTTAGCATTTTTATAACCACTATTTTTTAGGGCAGTGTTATAGAAGCTATTGTGTTGTTGGAATATTTCCCTGTTTGCGGAGTTAATGCTAATTCTATTTTCTATTGAAGAGGGTATATGTTTAATTATTGATGGAGGATGACTTCGGGTGTATGTATAAAGGGTTAGCATTTGGTTTTCTATAAGGTTGGTATGTGTTGCCTGGTAAGTGTAGAGTTACGTCGAGGAAGTTAACCCTTTTCAAATTAGAAGAGACAGTTATCTTTAAGTTTAGTTTCTTAAATTCACTAAATATAATTTTTCTGATTTTTTCAATCTTAAAACTAGTAGAACTCCTCACCACCATGAGCCTGTCATCTCTATACAGCCCGATGTCCTTAATATCAATTTCGCGGTGTGCCGTTAAATTGTACAGTATTAGGAGACCAACAAGGTCAGAAGACTCTGCAGAGTCTAACGATCCCATAGTGATGTCAAACAGGTCGTTATTGTTTTTTATCCATTGGTCCCCATTGTGAACGAGGACCGATTTCTTTGCGCAGAGGATTATATCCGTTTCATCCTTTGTTAGGTTAGAATACACAGCAGAAAAGTCCAGGGCAGTCATAAATAAATCCTTCGAAATTGATGGGTAGTAGTCCACGATATATTTGATGGGTAGTAGTCCACGATATATATATATATATATATATATATATATATATATATATATATATATATATATATAAATTCTTGGCTTGAATTGTATTGACACCCACAGTTATACATTTCTGAGTGAATATTCCCTACTAGTTGCCAATTGGATTGTGGACAGAGGAAGGTATTGGTCATCTCACGATGTTAATGTTGTGTTTCTAAAAACATTGTGTTGTGTTTCGTGTCCGATGGAATGGAACATTGTCTTGTTGGAACTCCCTGTTGGCAGATTCTGCATAAGAAAGCTTTTATGAGATCTAGTGGACTTAAACTAAGTGCTGATGAAGGCTATCAGTGTTCTTGAAGTGGCTCTAAAGCTGCCGAAACCATTACACTTTCACAACATTGACCACAGTGAGGGAGCACGAGGTCCTCTTTGCACAGAACATGTCAATAGGATAGAAGCCCCACAGGATCATCGAAACTGAACTGCTTTTCCTCTGATCCCATCACTACTATCACTCCCGCCATTTTATGTGTTCTTTTGCCTAATTCATTCTTGTTTTGGAGATTTTCAAGACACAGTGACTTTCTTGGCATTGAGAATCTTAGCTCTTTCCGCATTTTTTACATTTATTTTTTATATATATATATATATATATATATATATATATATATATATATATATATATAAGCAAAGCAAATATGGATATAGATCTGACAGTATGAAAGAAAAATATACAGAAAAAACAAACAAAAATCTTAATATGCAATTATGCTGTATTAATGTTAATATAAAGTCAACGTCGGACGTTTCGGTCTATTTTAGACCATCTTCAGGACATTTTCATTAAACATAATTAACATTAGAACATATAAAATTAAATATTAAACATATTAAATTTTATATATTCTAATGTTAATTATGTTTAATGAAAATGTCCTGAAGATGGTCTAAAATAGACCGAAACGTCCGACGTTGACTTTTATATTAACATTAATACAGCATAATTGCATATTAAGATATATTTTTTCATATATATATATATATATATATATATATATATATATATATATATATATATATTCTGGGCACGTGTGCATGTGTGTGAATATATTTATGTCAGTATATATGTACGGTTATCTAAGCCATTTTATGTGGATGTATATATCTATGTTTGAATATATACCTTGCTATATCGCTGATCATGTGTGTGTCTGTGTATCTTTCTCTCTGCCTATGTATACGTGTTTCTTTATTTGCATGTGTCTTTGCGGATATGTGCGTGTATTTATATATGTAGGTTCAATAGAGTCAATATGCGTGTGTTTTGTCTGTTGCTGCGCTCAGGGGAATCTATTCAAATAATATTTTCCTGCATTCGTCTTGCAAAAATCTTATATTTGTATAAATCCATAGGTTTCTTATTCAATAAACAAAGTACTTTTTCTGATTATCTAAAAATCTGACGTCACCTTACAAGTAAATTTTGTCGAGGGTGCGAGAAAAATACCTCATACCTCTACCTCCCAGAAATATAAGACCTTAGCTACAGGATGCGGCAGAAGTATCACCCATATTCTAAAATACTAATGAACGTAGGTAAGTGACAATGGTGTGTTTATCTAGCTAATGTCTTACTATTATTTGGGACGTATATCTGGGAAGTATATATGTGACATATTTCTGCGGCACACTGTGTTTTGTCAAGATTCACATTTTGATTCGATAAATTCTTCGTTATTTTGGAATTCAAAGAATCACTAATCATCGAAGATGTGTGAAAAGGGACAAAACAAAGGACAAGGTTTGAAGATGAAAATTCTACAGAATACGCTACAAATTCCAATCTTTATTCCATAATTTACTTCGTCGCATTTGCACAACGAAGACGGTCGTTACCATGAAGAGAAATCACCAATTTCATTGCCCCCCACAAAAAAATTCTATTCCAATCTGTTATTCAAACATGCGATTTGTTCACTGTAGCATAATGCTCTAACAGTCTGTTCAGATTCAAACAATTTGTAATAAAATATTTATTTTTACTCCCATCAAGCATAGAGAAGAAATTTTCCCCGTAAATTTCATTTCGTTTAAACTGTTGAAGGCTGTCTAGGTGATCCCAAATTTTCGTTTGCAGTTCACGTAATAAATCTGTTTTTCATCCATGTTACATCGGCAGTTATAGCCTAATCCCAAAATGACTTTTTCTGTGTTGAGAAAAAAAACGAGTCTTTAATACTGATCAGCGCTCCTTTTTTCAAGTTCACGTGGTTCCTGTTGATATCGTCTGAATTTTCCCAATGCTTGTAAACGATGTACGACCAATGACTGATTTCATATACAACAGAGATGAATAAACTTTAAACACACTTCTAATATATCTCTAATATTGCAAAAAAGGTGTCCCTAAGCTAATTGTATTGAGATTTGTGGCAATTATGTAACTACTGTGGGAATATTAAAGAAAAATATTTTCATGGGTATAGGCAAAAAGAGATAATAAGATGGCGAATGTTCAAAGGCAATGAAAAATTTCATCATTTTTGGACGAACTTTAAAAAATAAATTATATACTGAGTAGTCGATAAATAATGAATATTCTTTAGTAAATTTAGTTTGTTCTTCAATTGCTGTTGTCAATATGACTAAAAAGGTTACACTGCACTAATAGTGTGTCTGGGAACCACACTAATTTCGAATGATTCTAGTTTCAATGCTAATAGCAAACTTTGAATCCAGTATTTAGGATTTTATTTATTATCTCATTCGACACGAGACATGTTTTAAATTATCGCCCGGGACTGAGTTTTTTAAAACACTCTCCTGAATGTTTTTGTTGACTTTATCCGTTCACTAATTTGAAACGTTTACATTCTTTCCTGTGCCTGTAATTCTACCAATTTTCTTGAAAGATGCTTTAAGATTGTTCCTAGTTACAATATTACGAATTACATTAGAATACCACTTTCTTGATCATCTCTTAGGCTAGGTCTTGGTATTGATTCATTTTTTTAATTTCTCTGTCAGTTTCGCTCTTTTTTTACATTAAGTGTTTATGAAGGGATTACGATGAGTCAAATCTAAAATCTTTGCTTGGAGAAGGTAGACTGATTAAAACGATTATGCCATTTTACTTTTGCGTTTACAATTCGATTTTCTTCTCATACCATTTGTTGTTCTAAGGTCGAATGCAGGTCGTTTATATAATTCCCAATGGGTTACAATCACACAACTTGTCTTGGCTGTTTTTTACATTGTTCACTTTATTTACTTATGCTATTTACAGATTATTTCCATTACAATTTTGGTGAAATCTGAATTTTTATAACTTTTTTTTAGGTAATTTGATTTATTGTTTCGCTGGCCCTCGATCGATATTACAACATTTATTATTTACAGGAATTATACTTTAATTATATGGAAATGTGCTAATTATCGCTAAATTTAATAATAATAGTAATTATTATTATTATTAGTAGTATAAGTACCGTCAATAGCAGGCCACTATGGCTGATGAAAGACAATGCAAATTGTCAAGTTTTCTTGCTTTTTTTATTCTTTCTAACTTTTTTTTTCTATTAAGGAAGACTTGGAGTTATCTAATTTTAACAGATAATGTTTCAGTTAATTATTTAATTAATAAAAATCGGTATCACGATTAGACTAGAAATTGCTTCTTCACCAAAGTTAAAAAAAATGAATGGTTATCACAAAAATAATAATTTCACTACGATAATAAATAATACACGCAAATATACATAAATCGATTGATTATAATTTATTTTTACACATTGAATTTTCTTCAGTTGAAGATCACGTGACAGGAAGTTATCTTATAATTCCACCACTTTCCTTAGTATTCAGGTTTATTGAAGTATGGGTTTGGATGGTTTAAAATATCCTCTGATTTCCTGTGATAGAAATAGATAAATGAATTCAAATATAAAAGGGGAAAATATAAAACTTGTATTAACTGAAGCTACGACCATTTCTTCAGTTAGTTATAAGTATCCGCAGAAATAATTCGATAAATTTTGGAGTTGTAAAGTTGCTAAATAAATTACGTCGACCTCACTTTGTTCAAATTGACAACCAGAAATGGAAAGAGACTTACTGCAACTTTGAATTAAGGAATATCTTCTGTCAAATCATTTTACACCTGTCAGAAAACTCCATTGTCTGTCTCAAATCAGCTGTCAACCGATGAGGAAAGCATTATATCATTAGGTAAATGCTATTCTGCTATGTTGCCTGTCAATTTCTCACTTTTGATGATGTCTTTTCGATATATCATTTTCCGAACCAAAGATATGATACTTCTAAGACTTAAATATCCATTTTTATTCAGAAACATCAAGGAAAAGCACGACGGCTACCAATTTTAGAAGCCTTTTAATTTGCGTAAAACTAGTTTTATTAAATACTGCCGTAGTAAATTTATTAAACCGATTTTTTTAATTAAAAAAAATCATATAGATTTTGATTATTATAACCTGGCCTCTATCAAATTTGTAACGTGTCCGAATAAGTTGTCTTTGAAGTAGAAAGCGCTAAATAATATTCTATATGTAAGTAACCAATGGCTGAATTTCTAGAGTGAGGAGTTATCATTATTTGCGTTATATACACGCAGACTATTGCCCTCATCTTTGCTGTTGCTATCAAAACGCATCGGCCGTTGTGCTCCCCGGCCTTCATCAGGTATTTTTACTACGGGTAACCTTCACGGAATTCCTAACTGAACCCTTTATTTAATCTATGAGGATCGACCTTTCTTGTTCTGCTGCCCGTGTCTAGGAGTATCTCGTCTTCTTCAGCACTGCTAAGTTATTCTTCACCCTGTTGACGCTGAATGCCAAGTGATTGAACTCAATTACTATATCACCAAATTCACGAGCCAACGATTTAAACCCTTAGGCTATTTTCTCGTGGGGTTAAGTATGTAACTGTCCAAAATATCTTTGCCAGCATTAGCTTGTTGAATCAGTTATATTTAACTGAAAATTGTATATCTTCGCTAATGTTATCATAATGTAAAAATACAGTGTATTTTTCCTGGCTTTGTTAAGCCCGTTTTTATTTTGATTAAGAAAATTTATTTTATTATGTAATTTAATAACTTCTGAAAAACACTTCTTCTGGATTGACCTGTGAAAGAATGAATGATTTAAGAGACGCCAAAGAATTCTTGGAGACATATTTTAAAAATAGAAAAGAATAATACTTATATGAAGAAATCACTGAAAAGACAGAAGCCATTTTGATTCAGAGAGAAATCAGGAAACATTATAAAAAATATGATTAATAAAATCCATACATCGATTCTAATTTTAAGTTTCAATATTAAATGAAATCGAAAGGAAACGTCATTTACATGAAATAAGAGCTCGAGAAATTACATAATCCGATTATTTAATTGTTGCTTTTCATCATGGGAAAATGACTTTTCAAACAAAGGCTTCATTGAGTGAAAAAGTAAAGGACAAGCTAAAATTGATGTAATAATAATACTACTACTACTAATAATAATAAGCAATCCTGTGGGATATGCTAATTCAAACTGACAGGGAAATAAAAGCCAACAGGCCTGATATTATCATAAAAGACAAGAAATTCAAGAAGTGTATGTTTATTGACATAGCAGTACCATCTGAGAGAAAAACCTCCATAAAAATTATCAAGAAATTGTCCAAATACAAGGGCATGGAGATTGAAATTAACAGGATGTAGAGAATGAAAACTGAGACTGTACCAATAGTAATCGGAGCACTGGGCCTCGTGAGAAAAGGTATAGGCAATTTTACTAACAGTGTCCCAAGTAGCATCAACATAGAAGTTGTCCAGAAGATCGCCCTACTAGGAACATACCATATGCTAAGAAAAGTGCTATCAATTAAATGACAATTCTCCTCTAGGGTCTAAGGATCATAATTTGGACACAGGATACAGAGCAGGAAACATAACATACCTAAATAACAATAATAATAATAAAATATATGGAAAGTTTTTCAAGGTGAAAATCTAAAGAGAGAAATCTAACTGGTGAAATTATGTAACATGACATTGCCAGTAGTACTAGTTGTTGTTGGAAGACTGGGAGCGGTCTTGAAAAAAAGCTTGAGGAAACTGGAAATCCAGGGAAGATTCGAGGGTATCTATAAAATGCTATAACTGAAAAGTTAAAGTGCTGAGGAGGGCGCTAGAGTACCGTGTAGTACTGTCACTCTGTCTATTGCGGAAACAATCAGTTGCTACCGGTGTATAATAATGGAATAATAAACCAAAAATAGACAAAAATCAAAGTAGTAAAGGACGTCTACTTAGAGACAGGGAGAATACCCCCCCATATATATTTTGTTAAATATAAATTGACATGGTCTGTCTGTTTATTTGTAAGCAACAATTCAAATTTGAATAAGCACGTTTTGTACAAGTGACGTTATTTGTAGAAAGAAAATCCTAGCCAAATATGGAGAGAGATGGTAGAAACTTAAATAAGACTCTATCTCAACCCAAATATCCTTGCCAATGTCTGCGGGGGCATCATGCGAAATAAAAGATTTTCGAATGCAGAAATAGATCAGATAAAACTAAATATGAGACAAAGTGCAATAACCATAACACAAACAAAAATAAGTTAAGCCTGTAAAAAATAATATATCAGAGGATGAAGAGGAAACGAAAATAAATGATAGAAGAAATAATGATCTCTCAGCAAATAAAACGCATGAGGACATCAATAATTCAGTTTGACTGGAAAACGTTCCAATAGATTCATTGAAGGGATTCCTGAAAGCTCTTGCATTAAAGAAATACAAAAAAATGTACTCACAAGTACAGCTGACATCTTACAAAGGGTTTTATCTATGTAAAATGTGTATGGTCTTTTACAGAAATACTCAGTGAAAATTTCATGATTCTTTGGGTCTTTGATTGGGACTCGGAAGGAAATGAGTATACAACAAAATAATAATAATACGACTAAAATAATAATAATATTGACAGCACTACCAAGAGCAACTTATCTGCTGATCGCACTGGTGTGTCTCAAAAGCTGATGATATGATGATCATCATCCAGCCGAAACATCTAAATGTCGAATCGGATATCAACTAATAATAGTTCAGTTTTACTGTTTAGGTGTATAAGTTTTAACAGACATTTAAAACAATGTACAGAAAACCCAGGATCAATACACAACATAAACAACTGCACTGATGATGATCCTGTTACTGATGAAGACGAATCAAACGACATTAGAGCAAATTTCCTTGAAAACAACAGAGGAAAAAAACACATCATTCAAATACTCAGCAGAGTAACATGCACACAAATGTCAGAAAGAGACCAGCTCCCAAAAATCCATATGACGAAATTCAATAAACATATTGTGCAAATATATAGCACTGCATTGCAAACAGTGTTTACGGACAAACAGCTAAGAAATATCAGAAAAGTAAATGTCATATATGCAACAGCTTTAGTAGCTACAGGGAAAATTAATGTCAAGGCAAATAAAAGATGAAATAATAGACAAAAAGAGTCAATTTAGAAGGTAAAAAATGAAAGCGAGACATTGGGGAAATCATATGTGAGCTATCGATACAAGATGTGATTTCAAGAAATTGTTATGATTCAACACGAAGGCTGATCGTCTGTATGTCGCCAGATCCGAAGGAAACAGACGGTTAGTTCAACTAGAACTGTCTTACTAAACTATAACAATAATAATCTGTCAAAAGAACATGAAAGAAATAAGAAATTGCATTAGGAAGACAGTGCATTGAATTTCAAGTGGGTGAAGAAGTTTCATAATACACCTATGGAATCGGTAAAGATCCTAAAAAAGAAAGCAAAGGCAAATGCAACAGGCCAAATGTAGAAAAGATAGCAAAATAAACCTCTTTATCATCAATACCCTGTCCGTACCAAACAAGCTGACCTAGACAAACCCTGTAGTCATCAGTGGTTACATAGTGTAGGGTCAAAAGTTGAAACAGAAGGTTTTATTCTTGCTTCACAGGACCAATGCTTGCAAACTAGAAAAGCAGTTTCTCTGATTAATATCCAGAAAGAATTGTCCATCTTGCGTCAGGTTGCAAGGAATTGGAATCCATTGAATATAAAACTATGCAACCTTTACGAAAATGAGACACAGACTCGATTACAGAAATAGGACCTGTAACAACTTTAAGGTACTTTATAATACAAACAGAAAGAACAATCAACGCTAATCGCCCAGGCGTCGAGATCGAAGACTACAAAAACAGAATGTCCTTTGTCTTGCAAACTGTAATGTAACTTTGAAGATCTTCAAAAAACTATCAATATAAAAGGATCTTGAAGTGGAAATCTCAAAAATGTGATACATGAGGACATCAATAATTCAGTTTGACTGGAGAAAGTTCCAATAGATTCATTGAAGACATTCCTGAAAGCCCTTGCCTTAAAGAAATACAAAAAAATGTATTCACAAATACAGTTGACATCTTACAAAGGGCTTTATCTATGTAAAATGTGTATGGTCTTAGGCTACATTTCTCTCTTTTTCTCTCTTTTTTTTTTACAGAAATACTCAGTGAAAATGTCATGATTCTTTGAGTCTTTGCTTGGGAAATGGTTATACAACAAAATAATAATAATAATAATAATAATAATAATAATAATAATAATACAACTAAAATAATAATAATAGTGACTGCACTGCTAGGAAATACTTATCTGCTGGTGTTTCTCGAAAGCTCATGATATGATGATCATCATCCGGGCGAAACAACTAAATGTCGAAACGGATATCAACTAATAATAATTCAGTTTTACTATTTAGGTGTATAAGTTTTAACAGACATTTAAAACAATGTACAGAAAACCCATGATCAATACACAACGTTATTCTCTGCAACAACAACAATAATAATAATAATAATGGCTTGCTGAAAAAAAGTAAAAGAATGTTAAACTTGAAGGTGAGACCAACAAGAGATTAAAAACAATATATATATATATATATATATATATATATATATATATATATATATATATATATATATATATATGCGAAAAGAAGTGAAAGAGAAATATTTCTCGCTCTCTGACTTATCGATCTGTTTCTAATGATCCGATAAGATTTATAGTCTTGTCTCGATGGAGAATTGTGAATTTGACGCTTCGGTTAAACGCTTATGACGCACCATTCCACCAGTCTCTGAGTCGAGCGTTTACCTTCGTTGCCATGGTTACGGGACTCCATTTTCGTGACCATCGATATTGATCTGTGTGAATGCGAACCAACAAAACTCTTACTTGGGGGCAGAGAGGCAAACAAGACGAAACAGATAAAAGATAAAAGCTTTTTTTTTTTTTCAGAAGAAGGAATGGCCAAGAAACAATGGAACATTTTTCCCATAGACATTTTATTTTTTTTCTATAATAAACAGAGCATAATTACAGAGGTAGAATTCATTAGAATCCTAGCCCTAATGATATTTAGGAACTTATGGACATCACCAAAAGCTTGAGGCCTGTCGGTATGTTAGTATTGTAGAACATTTGAAAGGAAAATATAAGAATAGGTATATTATTCCATATATATTCTGGGTGAGGCTACTGTTTACATATTGCATGTTATTACCATAGTGTCTTAGCTGACATATTCTTTGTCTTTATTAAAGTATATTGTATCTGTTGGCACAGTGAATTGTGAGTTCAATTCCCGGGATGGGTAGTCCAGATTTAAAATCAATGTAAATTGCATGAGTGGTTTGCTTTTTTTACGGCTTATCAACCATTTGCCGGCAATTTAAAACCCGAAAATATTTTTAGATTATAAGAAGTTTTTGGAGATAATAATGATTTTTACTGATACAAGTTCTACTATTTAACCCACAATTGGGGGAGAAGAGGTGGATTCATACATTTCCCAAGCAAGTGAATATAACAACCCTCAACTGGAATTGAAAACTCGGCCCTCCGATTTCCAATTACGAGCTGTTATCCATTACACCTCCCACACATCCAAGCTTACAGCCACAGGTATTCCCAAGCGTCCGCCCATTTGGGTAATGACCAGGCTCGACTTGCTTAACTTCGGTGATCGTACGCGAAACGGTGTTTCAACGTGATATAGCCGTAAGCTTAGTGGAGCCGTAACTGGGGAGTACTAAATAAAAAGTCGGGATATCCCTCGAGGTGGACATCGGAATGAGACAATCTACAGCTGAGGAAAGCCGGAGAGTATAACGGCCAAAACTCTACAAATGGTAGCAATAGACTGAATATAAATAATGTCGTATCTGGTATTTACTTTTCCTTTTGCCGCTTTCTCAATCAAATTGATGAGTTTAATTAATAAGTTAACAGTTCGTTATCAATTCATTACTTTTTTTTTTAAATATGAGATGATGTCTCCTGTAGCTTGGTATTGAACTCACAACTCTTTGGGTCTAGTCCCTGTATCTAACCAACGACTTTATCCACGCCACCCCCCCCCCAAAAAAAAAGAAAAGAAAAAAGAAACTTGGAGAGATGAGAAATAACTGAGGTGTCCAGAAGAGACATGGCAAGTGGAACTAGAACAATCTACACCGGTGGTCAAAATAAAGGGTTTGGTTCTAAATTCTAATCAGTTGAAGAAGGCCGGAACGTACAACAACTGAAACTTTGTGAATATGGCAATGAAGATGAGGATAACACTCCGAATAATATAAATAATCAATATACCTCATCCCCATTTGTAATCATTTGGTGAGATGTTCCACTTGAGCAACATCTTCACACGAGATACTGCCTTGTGGAACCGATTCCCAAGCGATTGCTTCCTTCCCCCGATCATTTCAATCTAACCTGTTTAAGTCTAGGGTTAGCCGTTTTCTTTCACGCGCATCCGCATAAGCTGTAACACTCTACCCCGAGTGGCCCTCGGGTCTTGTACAGGGTGAACATCAATACAAAAAAAAGCCCTCCGTCATCCTTCTTTGTCTCAAAATAGTTAAGTCGTTTTACCCTATTTTTTTTGCATTTGAATACTTCAAACCTTCTTTCTACATTGTGGCCCAGAAATTCCTGTTGGCTATTTCTAATTATAAGTTTAATTGCCATTAAGATCTAATTTCCTAGTGGCTCACATATTTTGTTCAATATAGTCTTGACATTAATCAGGGGAACCACGTTTCTCTCTTTCAAATCTCTTCTTTGTGAAGAAATTGACAGGCATTTATTGCCATGCGCCTTTGTGCAAATTAATTGAAACAACCACTTTAGTTTCCTTTCTTTCACCTTACAGTCAGTTTCAGACCAACTGGAGTGACAGGATGTGATCGATTTCTATTTTTTCCTCAGGTTAGTTTCATTTGCAGTAGTGTGCAGTAATATGAATCTATTTTCGGGGTGTATGATGAAATTCGTTTGGTCTTGAGAAATATTGCGTAATCCATGATTGCATCAGATTTTTATCACGCCCAGTCACTATTATCTCGACTGTCGATTAGTTGTCCTATGGCTATTGTCTGCGATGGAAGTTACTCCCAGGAAGCGTACGAAAATTGTAACGCTGCACGAACACAATGGCAAGCGTTACCAGTGAGCAAATCAAAGTACTATAGATTGGCCCGGAAACTCTCCTGATTTAAATCAAATCGAGAATCTGTGGTCAATCTGCAAGGAACGACTTTGTGGAATGGACATACGAAGTACTAACATGTGCACTGGGTCATGTTTCATTTGAAAAATACGAAAAAATAGTAAATAATAACGGAATTATTCGTCTTGTTTCAATTAATATGCACAATAGTGTATCATCTTATTATTCTTTTGTGTGTCGTGTTCTTTCAGGGCGTAGGCGATCATGGCTCTCCACTTCCCCCAATCTCTTTTAGCTCTCATTAAGTTTTGTACCTTTGCTACTTCCCAGATCCTGTTCTGTCATCCACTTACTTAAGCCCGCTCGGTATATCACGAGTTGATTCTCCTCATCTCTCTATCCACCTTGTGAGTATCAGATTCTCCAAGCCCTTTCTTCTCATTACGTGTCCCAGAAATTTCAACTGCCTCTTCCTGACGTTAAATATAAGCTTCTTCCTTGTTTGCATCCCCTTCAAAACCTCATCGTTGCTCACAGGCTCGGTCCATGTTACCCTTAGCATCCTTCTGTAGAACCATACCTCCGTTGCCTAGAGTCTCTTCTTCATCTTTGAGGAGACCGTGCAACATTCACTGCCGTAAAGGAGGACAGATATCACGTGGCAGTTCAGGACTCTTTTCTTTGTTACGAACGAAATCCTCCTCGTAATATTCAGCGTAGCTTTTGGAATGCGTTTTTGGCCATCCCAATACGATTAAATTTGCGCACCTGATTGATTTTAGTGTTCCCGACCTGTAAATCGCATTTTGGTCTTATCCTTTTACTGATGACCATGCATTCTGTCTTTTAGATATTATATAGACGTTTCTTTGTTTCTACCGAACATTTCCAATCTCATAATACCTTAATTAGTTTCCGAAAGGCATCTTTTGATTATCTTATATTCATTTTTTGTCGTCTGCTATTGCCCTAGCCAAATAGTTAAATCTCTCTACCTGCTTGATTAGCGGTTTGATAGATTTGTACTTTACAATTCAGGGGAGGCACATATTTTTGTTGTGAATTGAGTTTGAAAAATGAAATGTTCCTCCATTTTGCTCATGTTTGGCATACAAATAGAGGCAGATGTTACGTCAAACCGAGGCAATAGTTTGTTATTTCCTGTTGATTTGATTAAAGCCGCGCACGTTGATTTTGCGATCTGCTTCTGGCTTTTTCCAGCTCGTTCTTCACTTAGATAAAGCACCCATCCGGCAGTTACGTGAACTTGAAGTCATGTAGAATAAATAAACGTCGATTCAGTTAGTTGAAGAGAGCAACAAGGAACCGGTAGCCCAGATAAACATTGTTGCCAAAATTTTATCCTGATTTTATCAAAATTATAAAGTGTTTAATTAAAATATTTCATCGCATTTTACTACATTATATCTCTATCTCTTTGAAAGATATTACTGCTATCAATCCATACACAAATCTGAAATGGCAGTGCTGGGCCGGCGAAAGGGTCTTGTGTCCCCTCGAATCTACGATATTGTCTCCCCCCTCCCGAATCTATGATACAGCACCAACTCTACTACATCTCAATTTTCATAAGGTAGTATTCATATATGTTGTAACCTAGAAAAGGTTACTGATTGAGGAATAACCAAAACGGAGTTTGGAAATGAAATGGTCATCTTTATAGCATCAGCAAAATACAATACTCGCCAGCGGCGTGAAGTAGGTAAACCACTGCTAGTGATGGAATATGTAGACAGCATGTAGACGATATTTACCTGCCTCCCCACGAGGTAGGATGCGGCACAAGGCCAAAGTTAATGTGGCGAATCCGTGCCAAAAATTGCCAGTAGACCCCACATACACGGGATCGGGTATCTATCTACCGCCCCGGACGAGACTCTGCCCTTCGGTATAGCCTCCTCCGGATTTCTCTCTGCCCAAAGTCAGAGAGTTCGACACGGCAAGAGCTTCCCACGCTGACAACTCAGACTGACAACTCACGCTGACAGCTTAGGCAGCATACTGCCTCCACTTACAGTGTCCAACGTATTTATGAGGATTGGAACATACGTACGGCATATAACAGTATAAACTACAAATTTTATTGTAACCTAGTTATGTGCGATAATATGCAATATATGTGAACAATTTAAGTATAAAAATTTAGAATAAATACAATTTATCTAAATACAAATTAGAAACGTGTTTCAATATATCATTCCATCTGAAAGAAATCAACAATGTTTTGCGGCAATTTGAAGAATTTTAACACATTCAACATTATAGATAAAAAACAGCGAATTTTATATATTGTTGCTACTATATTTTACAATGAGCAAAAGAAATTCACGAATTTGGACGAAGAAGAAAACACGCCAGTATGACGTCAGAATTCACGTGAAACACGAAGGACTGTGTGTTGCCTAAAGTATGATACTTAAAAAGAATATATACAGGAGAAAAACACCCAGGCCCGACTGACTTCCCAAAATCTGGCCAAACATCAGTTTCTTTTTATCTTTGCTTTTATCATCACGATGTTTCTACTATTTCCCCGGCCTTCATCATTTGCTTTTGTTAAGCAAGTTCTGTCTCCAAGTATACACTGCACAAAGGTGGGGATAATAACAAAAGAAGATGAGGATAATAGTCCGCATGCAAATTCCTCAAAATTCCCCATCCCAGAAATTCAGACAGAAAAGTCTATTTCGTTTCTTTTTTAAGTTCTTTTCTTGTCAGGTCGAGAACTTTTCGGCATCCGTTGTTACGTCTTATTACATTCTATATATACAAATTATACAAAAACGAACCATTACGTTTACAACCTTAAACAAAGGTGAGTACAGATATGATATCATATCAGTGACCCTTATTTTTATTACGTTTCTTGAAGGTGGAAATCGACACAAATAAAAAAAAACAAACTCGCGGTGGGGTAATGGCTAACGAGCTAGTACAGTTACCCATTTCTACTGTGAATTAAGTTCATTCTTTACTAGTTGTCCCATACTTGTGGCCTTGTGACAGACTTATCTAAGCTTAGACAATGCCAGCAAAAAGTAAAGCTGAAACAGGCTAAAAATCACGTATAATGCGCAATTGTTGTAAATGAATTATCTTTTGGTAAAGAAGAGAAATACGGACAAGGCGTCTTGGAATTCTCCCAGTTGTTATTGTCCATCCAGTTTTTAATAGAATTTACAGAAATTCAATGAACACAGTTTGTATGGAAATGGTTGACTCTATTCAGCAAGCGACATCACAAACTAAATTATCGAAGAAACTAATATGACATTTCAAACCAGTCCTTAATGCAAGCTGCTTCTTGACACTATATACAAAAGCGAAATATATGTTACGCTAAAATATACAATGCTGGTTTCTTTACAAAATAATGTTTTGCATACGAGTGGTATATCAACGCCTTTGAAATACATTCTTTGAAGCCTGTTGAAAATTTCTCTTAGAAACATTGACTACTATGAAATCGCAATCTTTTTTCGTTTGGTTTCAAATAATAAAGTCTGTATATATCGACAACACTCCCAAAATAA